CCGTGGCATTTTGTGGGGCAGCTGGCAGCGACGTCCGTTGAAAGAAACGTGTGGATGTGGAGACGTAGCCAAGAGTGGTGAGTGGTGATGTGCTTCGCTTCAGTGACACGGAGTTCATTAACAATTTTTGCCTACTTCAGAGCAGAATAGTGACGTTTGTGGCTTGTTGATGACGTGTAGGTCGAATGAATGCGCTTTGGCCATTCAGACTGAAGTCACATGTCAAAAGATCAGATATGTATCGGTTTCAGGAGCACATATCCAAGTGGCCTGGGTCGCATTTGAAAAAATCGGATCTGTGTCGTTCAGACTGTCATTAAAAGATCAGATACATTTCACATGGGGCCAAAAAATCAGATTTGGGTCACTTCAGGCTGCAGTCTGAACGTAGCCTTAGACTTAAACTTTATTGATCCACAAAGGAAATTATTTGGACACATTTGCTCACACATCACAATATAATATTATAACAAAAAGCAAAAATATAAATGGTAATAATAAATTCTAAATAAGTAGCAAAAAAGAGCAAGAGACAGGTGTCAAATAAGAGGTAATTACATAAATGTAAACATACAAGTAAAAATAAAATAGAAAGATAAATAATAAAATATAAAATCACAGCTTTATACAAGAGGTCATTAGTCAGGCTGCACTCAATTTCATTTCTCTTGAACGACTAGGTCAGGAATCAGAATACACTAGACGGTTTGCAAGGATCCCGGAAGTTGTAGACCATGCACCGACCAATCAGTGAAGATCTGTGAAGCCATGACGTCAAACTCATGCATCTGTCTGTGTCCCTTTTGTGGTGCAGCACAACAGTAAACACAGCGGTCGAGATGGATGTAGACGAAGACAGACATTCTGTGTTGGTAACGATTCCCGGGATCGAGGATTTAAAGCTAGAACAAAGAGAATGTTTGGTGAATTTTATCAAGATGTTAAGAAAGACATTATTGCTCTGATTTGGCACATTACATACATCACGACCAAATAGCAGCGGTTGGTTAAATAAAAAAAGGACCCGCCTACCATCAAGCAAACAAATCCTAATATTGCGAGGTCCTCACAGGCTAAGAGGTCATAAGAAGTCAGTGCAAATGTGTTCCACTGCAACAGCTGGGGAAAATATGGTTGTCCGAGAAAGTTTAATATAATGTCAGGTATCGCTAGTCTGACTCAGTTATGGAAGTTTGACTATACACGCATCAAGAATCTTGGACTTCCGGTCACTGCGCAATGCATACTGGGAAGGACTTTCCGAAAAAAGTGAGCATCAATCTGCCATGTTTGTTTTCCCAGTGGGATGCGTCTATTGTCCAAGTCGATCTTTTCTAGTCTTTTGAAACAAATCGCTTTTGTTTCTGGTTCTGATATTGTCATATTTTAGTTTTGGGATTCAGACACCGTAATTGTGTGATTGTTGGATGTCCTAAAGTGGAAAACGGCTCGAGAAATTTGTTTGCGAACTCCATAAATGCAAAAGGGAATCAGATCTGTGTGACTCCAAACCTCCGTTCAAACTGTTTCCCTTCCTTCCATGGCGGTTTGATGCTCACTTTTTCAGAAAATCCTTTCCAGTATGCATTGCGCAATGACAGGAAGTCCAAGATTCTTGATGCGTGTATTGAAAAAAACTTCCGTCTGCTGTAAAATGATGTGGAAGAAAGTCTAAATGTTGTACAAAGTTTTTTTAGAAGACACTTTTCTCTACTTAACATATCAAAATTACGAAAAGACAGTTCTCCCCGTTTACTGTGGGCATTGACATTTTCGCTGTGACGTAAATCCAGCCGATTCGATCTGTTCTGAACTAACTCGAGTTTGTGCTTTGGAACTCTGATCTGATTGGCCGTTCCGTTGCACTTTCTCGAGGTGGAGGTCAGTTTTACCCTGAGCCCCAAGTGCAATACGAAGGTCAACCAGCAACCTGTTTGACTCCTACAGCTTTACCTACAGTTTCATAAAGAAGACTGGTAAAAACTATCCTTTGAAATCTTAAAATCAACCAAAACCTGGAATAATATTAATGTTGGACCTGTAAGCTGATCACAATTGCAAATGCCTGATTAGCATATGAGGCATAGTACATTGTAACACTGGTATTTTCACATTATGAGATGATGCTGTGTTTTGAGTATAGCCTTTAAATGTGTTGTTTTTGTAAAGCCACTTGCCTCATCTGACACTGAAGATAAGACAGTCGTGATGTCTGCGAGACCAGGAGTACTACTAATACTGCACTGCTCTGTCTGAAGCTCTGTTACTCTCATTAGACTTTATTTTAACTCAATCTGACCAGAAAGAATTCACTTAGCTGGAATTACAACAGATGAGATGATTTTTACTGTTAAACAAGTCCCAATTTACTCAGGACAGTCCCAGTTTTGAGCCCTGTGTCCTCTATCCCAGCAGATTTATCCAAAACCAGTGATTTGTCCCAGTTTTTGTCCCAGGCGTCCCTATTTTTGACCAATCTGCTCCCTGCCAACAGCAAAGCGAGGTATAAATTGTCATTAGTAGGAGTGTAACGATATCCAAGTGTCACGATACGATATCATCATGGTATGAACCTCACGGTACGATATTTATTGCGATATCGCGGGAAAGTTTACGATATGGTGGGGAGGCTCACGATTAGGGATGTAACAATATCCAAATCTCTCTGTACGATATTTTCACAATATACATCCCACAGTACTGTATTTATTGCGATATTTTGTGAACGCTGCGAACAAAACTGTTAATTTGCTTCTTTTTCCTTTTAAAATTCCTTGACAAGACTTAATCCAAAGAACTAAGACTTAAAAGTGTTTAGAACTGTTATTTCTTCATGTAGTCTGCACTAAAACGGAGCAAAGGATCATGGTCTATGTAGTTCCCTGTCTTTTTTAACTATTGCTGCATCATAACTCTTAATTTAAAACTTCTAATTTGATATATTGTAATGGTCCATGATATTATTGTGAGAACTTTGACGATACGATATCACGATATTTCGGTTATCGTTGCATCCCTAGTCATTTGTTAAGGTAAAACACAGAAAAGCTGCTCAAAAACGACCAAAACACAAAGAAAATGTGACAACACTGACTCACATTAATGCCGAGTGCTAACAATTTTCCTTAATTATGCGCTCGTTTTGCAATTTTATTATCACCAACCACCACAAACCAGGGATGTCCCAGTTTTTTATTTTGAAAATGTGGTCACCCTACTCTCAACTAACATACTACATACATTTCCAGCTAGTCACTCTCACCTTTTTGCTTGAAAATCAAACTCCTAAACACAATTATAGACTCTCGTAATGATCACAGGCTCCTGAAAATGTGCTATTTTGGTTTTTTTCTTGAGTTTTCAGATCATTTTAAAACATTTTTGGCAGTTTTTGCAAATGTGTGCATTACGTCACCATGTTTACTGATGAAAATTTTGTCAATAGAGATCTATGTAGAACACCCCCAGCATGACGTCACTCTAAAGTATCAATAGGTTGCATTTAGGCTGTAGAATCTGATGCTGTCATAAGCTCAGGTGGTGGGCGAGGGACTATGTAGCTCTATGGGAGATTTGAAAGACATAAATGAGCCACAAATATTGAACTTTATGAACATTATTTACAGGGATTACTCGGGTTCACAAACTTGTCTTATTAATCTCATGTCCTTAAATTCTTTCAAATGACAACAATCACAACTGGAGTTGAAAAATGGCACCACTTATAAATTCTGTTGTGAAAGCGTAACTCCACTTCTGTTTATTTATACAGACAGAGCAGACCATGAACTTTGCGCCGGTTTTTGTTACAGTAATTCCAGCTGTATTAACCGTAAACCAGGTCCACAAATCTGCACAGTTAAACAGCAAATTCCACCATCGAATCGAGCTTCAGACTGCAGCCTGAAGTGACCCAAATCCGATTTTTTCGACCCAATGCGACCTGTATCTGATCTTTTAATGACAGTCTGAACGACACAGATCCGATTTTTTCAAATGCGACCCAGGCCACTTGGATATGTGCTCCTGAAACTGATACATATCGGATCTTTTGACATGCGACTTCAGTCTGAACGGTCAGGTCACATTCATCCCACCTACACGTCAGGCTTGGAATTTAGAGGGAAAGTGAGGTTAGCGAGATTTGGGGGGGATCGCTGTATTCAGGCCAAATCAGAGTAGTCTTATCGGAACTGGGCGTTTTTTGAAGTGATTGCCAAATGATGGTCCGGGCTCCAATATCAACAAAAAGTAAAGAGCGTGTGAGCCAAATACAAGGAGCCTAAAGACTCAAACAAACAAAGTGGACATAGACGTGTAACCTGCCCATTTTACGAAGAACTGGACCATATTTTGGGAGACGAGCCCAGCGTTTAGGCGACTTCTCTGTACACTTTTGGGGCGTTTAAAGTTCACACTGGAGATCACACACAAGTCGCATTTAATTGGAAGCGTTAACGACCTCGCGAAAAAATCGGATTTCACACAAAAATCCGAATTGACCGTTAAGCCCTGCACTCTGAACGACGCCTATCTAACTTTTTGGTTTGGGTCCATCACCTGCTTATTTCTACTGACATGTCATTGCTCTGCCTGGAATGTTCCACAGTATGACATTAAACAGCTCTACTTTACATTTATTCAATTACAGGTGGTTTTATAGCTCAAAAATACCCAGAAAAACAGACATTCTGACTGTGAGCAGGGTCGCCTCTTCACAGATCTGACCTGTAACTTGGTCTGGTTTGGTCTCCATGAAGATAGAAATGTTTAAAGCCATACTGTGAAACTTTCCAGACAAAGCAAGTTACACAATTCACCTTTAAACTGTAGTGATTTGAGAATGTTTTGATTTCACATGAGTGCAACCTGTTATATAAAGAAGAGATTATCTGGGGTTTTATTATGTGGACTTGCAATGAAAACAAAATAAACAGTACTTCTTTCAGTTTTGTGTCTAAATGAAATTAATGCTTGTTTGTTTTTTTTACTGTTTTCAGTATGGAATTGTCCTGGACGCTGGCTCCTCTCACACGGCCATGTACATTTACCAGTGGCCCGCGGAGAAAGACAACAACACAGGGAGGGTAGAACAGACCAACTCCTGCAAAGTCAAAGGTACCATCAAACATCAACAAATCTATAACATGTGACTTTATTTTTATTCATTTATTTATTTATTTGAAGATTTGATCCATCTCTTTTACAAGGGCCTCCTAATTTAAAGGTTGTATGGAGGATTTTTTTTTGTTTTTTTTGTTTCAAGTTGTCAATGATAGCATTATAGAGATGCAGTAGCCTTGTAATTATGATGACCAAAAAAAAGAGAATAAAAATTCATCAACTCTGGACGTGGTGGGGCTAAACATTTGCCAATAGATAACGACACTGCCTCGTTATCTGTGAGCTGACAGGCTGTCAATCAATCTCCCTACGTTTCTAGCGTAACTGACTTGCCTGCGCGCCGCCGGTACGTGGTTTACGTACGACTGTCACACAGTCCACAGACGCAAGACGAACAGACGCTGTTTACTCCACCAAAGCAACAGTTCTTAGCGGCTTTTTTTGACCTATATCCTCCTTGCAGTTCGCACAAAGTTTGTTGCAATGGCGACAAGAATCCAGGAGCAGTTCGCCGCAAAAGAAAGTCCGTTTTTGAGGTCGCTGAAAGAAGAAGACAAGGGGAAAAGAAGCGAAGCCAAACTAAGGTGATTCTTGAAGATTCATTCCAGCGATGGCGCGACTGAAGCAGACGCAGGGTCTAAAGACTGACGCATTGGTCGCCAAATTACTCCTGGACAGGTCACTTCTGCTTATTATGAAAACGTACTTTATTTCCAAGAGCTAGACAAACGTTTTTCAGGACACGAAAGCGATATCCTATGTCTGAAAACGTAATTTTCAAGGCAAAGAAAGAGTCCGCTTGCTGCTGCGTGTTGTAGCTAGTTCATTCGCACTGAATCTCCGCACAACCTTCTCTGCACCCCTTTCCTGCTCCTGTCCCCGCTGCCCGTTCCGCTCTCACTTCTCACTTCTCCGGGCACGGAATCTCCGTGCACCGCTAACCTCTCCTCTCTCCCTGCTCCCTGCTCCGCTCTTCTCCCTGCTCCTCACTTCTCGTCCGCGAACGAAATGTCCGCACACCCGCTCCCCCCGCTCCTCACTTCTCCGTCTTGCCTAACCAACACTGTAGTTAGTTGTTTACAAGTCATGTGCAGCTCACCGGCTGTAAACAAACCTGTTTCTGGCGTAAGAGGAGGCGGGAGGAGGCGTTTCTACGTAGGAGCTGTAGGGGAGGGGGGGTGGTTTCACGCATGCGCAACATTTGAAAAAGGACAAACAGTCGCTGGATTTCTCGTTCCTTGGAAAATCCTCTATACAACCTTTAATCATTTATGTTAGATCAGAAAAGATTCAAATTAAAATAATCTTATGCAACACTGGGCAAGACAACACTGCAAAAAACTAAATCTATCCAAGTTAAGATGACTTGAATTAAGAAAGTTTCATCATGATTTGAGTCAATTTCGCTTGACAAGTTCTTGACACGCTCTGCCAGTGGAATAAGACTTTTTGTACTTAAAATATGAAAATACATCTTGCTACACTTAAAATAAGAAAAACAACAACTTTTTGCACTTAAAATAAGAAACAAAATCGAATGTTGCTTGAATTAAGAAAATCACACTTATTCCATTATTTTACTTATGAAGTTGAATCTACTTAAATAAAGTAAAATGTTCTTAATTTAAGTCATTTTAACTTACCTAGATATTGCTTTTTTTCAGTGAATACAAGGGAAGTTGAGTCATATAACACAATTTGTACACAAAGTAATTCCAGGTGCTTTACAGAATAAGAAAGACATTAAAATCACAATACAAACAAATCAAAACATAAGTAATCGAGATAATATTAACATTAAACAAGAAGAGAGAAGCGTGCGGAGTCAAAACCTTTCAGTCATATGCACAGATAATTCAAATAAATCAACTTTTTTTTTGCTACTAGGCTGAAGTCAAGTACTACATGACATTACACAGGACTACCCAGATTACCCAGAGTTTGAATTACTTCCCAATTTAACAAATCTATTTGAAATGGGAGGAGTGAATTATATACATTGGAGTTACTTATTTCTGGAGATTTCACCCAAAGTTTTCCAGTAATTCTTAGTCATGGCTCTTCCAGTCAGCAATTTCTTAAGAAAAAAGGGGGACTCATGCATCATACATACATGTACATACTTTTTTCATAATGTGACTTCATATTTACTCAACACTGAAAATTGCGTAAACTTATGTCTTTGTAACTTTTTCTAACAGATTCCAGACTCATTAAAATGTCTGTACACCCTGCACTCGAGCTCAAAATTAGTGCTGTCTGTATCTAATTATAAAGCTTATTTTTAATGTCCGGGAATCAGTAAGTGTGCTGTTAGAATGCTATTACTGTGATGGCAGAACTCGCTTCAGGGATCACTTCCTGCTTCTGAAGAGTGCAGACGCTATCCTTGCTTGCTCCTGCTGTTTTTGCTTTTTAATCAGTTTACCTCCTCCAACAACGGATAATGTGTCTATTTTTGATTTCCTTTTAAATAAATTAATACTTTTAAACATTTTTTTATTTTTTAACAAATCATCTGATGGGCCAGCAACATGTCGGGGAGAAGAAACCAAGAGAATTCTATCTGTCTGTCGGATCTATCAACAAGAAATTTATGAGCTACAAGCACGGATATTTGCTTTAGAAACTGAAAAAGGACTTCATCAGACGCTACCAGTGACTTCCAGTGGTGAGCAACCTACAGTGAGTGCGTATACATGCACATCAGTAACCCGGTTATGATTGGGTTTTTGAGTATCCGGTTTCTTGATGGTGCATGTAAACGCAGTAACCGGTTTCAGTAACCCGGTTATGGCAGTATCCCGGTTATTAGAAACCGGGTTACTGTAGCTGGTTTATTCCGATAGGTTTTAATGAAGAGTAAATTTTTGCGCCTGCGCATTTGTAAGATTATGTCAAGAAACCGGGATACTCCATTTGATCATGTACACGCGAATATGAGTAGCCCGGTTTCTCAGTGCGCATGTAAACGCAGTAACCCGAATACTGACATAACCGGGGTATGGCTAATAACCGGGTTATTGATGTGCATGTATACGCACTCAGTTACTTCCAGAGAAGAGGGTGAAAATATCGTTATATCACCCACAATAAAGCTAACAAACAGATTTTCACCACTGTCACAGACTGATGTTAACATACAAACGGATAATGTACTGTCATCACAAAACAAGAACAATAAAGTTGGCAAAAGAGTGCAGGCATACCGGGAATCTGTGTCAAACGTCAAGGTCAGAAATACGTTGCTGCTAGGAGACGGGGCTATCACTGGTGTGAGTCACAGAGAAATCCTAACATGCTGCTACCCGACCTACACTGTTTCTGAGATAACAAAACTCCTGCCAAAAGTTTTGTCAACACACCAAGGTGTTCAAAATGGATCAGAATGATAGTGAAAGGGATTTCACTAAATTATTCGAGGAGCTTAATAAAGTGGAGGTTAAGACATTTATCAGTGGACCTCTTCCCAACATAGACCTAAGGAACAGGAACAAATTTACCCGACTGTTTCAGCTGAACACGTGGCTGCTGAACGTGTGTGTGACCAGAGGATTGCACTACATTGTCAGCAGTCACCTCCAGTCTCTCTCTCTAAAACCTTCAAATCAGGCAAGAAATCTAATCAAATCAATAACATCTGCAGCCTTTTACCATCTAAAAAACATAGCAAAAATCAAAGGTTTACTGTCTAAAGCAGACTTGGAGAAACTTATCCATGCGTTTGTCTCCAGTAGGTTAGATACTGTAATGTTCTGCTCACTGGTCTCTCCAAACGAGCTGTGAGACGCTGCAGAACATCCAGAACGCTGCAGCTCGGGTCCTTACTCGAACTAGGAAGTACGAGCACATAAGTCCTGTGCTCAGGTCTCTGCACTGGCTCCTGTGCCTCAGAGAATAGACTTTAAAGCAGCTCTGCTTGTACAAGTCTCTCCATGGCCGAGCACCAAAGTACATCTGTGACATGTTAGTGTCATATGAACCATCTCACACTCTGAGGAGCTCAGGGACCGGCCTCCTGCTGGTGCCCAGAGTCACGACTAAACAAGGGGAGTCAGCGTTTCAGGTTCATGCAGCTAAAACCTGGAACAGTCTGAACATGTGAGACAGACTCTTCTGTGACGCTGTTTAAATCCAGGCTCAAAACATTTCTGTTTAACTGTGCAAATAACTGAAAGGTTTTCATTCCGCACTTTTCTCTCCAATTTATGTCTCTCTTTTTTCATTTTAATCTTCATGATTATTTATGTTTTGATTTGTTTTTATTGTGATTTTAATGTATTTCTTATTCTGTAAAGCACTTTGAATTACTTTGTGTACGAATTGTGCTGTACAAATAAACTTGCCTTGCCTTGCCTGAAAGTTCTGAAACTCATTGCGGTGAATAATTAGAATGTTCAGAAAGAGGAATGACTTTGGATCACTGCAAACTGTTTAAAATGAGTAGCTCTAGTCATGGATGTTAAAAATCAGGTACAGCATCTTTAAAGGTGCATTGTGTAACTTTTATGGTGGAGTTTTCTTCATGGAGATGTTATTCCTTTGCCTGGAATGTTTCACAGTCTGGCGTTTAACCTTTGTATTATCATGGAGACCAAACCAGACCAAGTTACACCAAGAAACTCCGATCACAGTCAGAATGTCTGTTTTTCTAGGTATTTTTGAGCTATAAAACCACCTGTAATTGAATAAATGTAAGGTCAGAGGCGGCGCTACCATTAGGAAAAGTAGGCAGCTGCTTAGGGCCCCCAAACTTGGAGGGGCCCCGAAACAATTTACCCTCAATACCACTAATTTGATTTTCTCTCAATATGACATTAAATGAGAGTCGTTTACTTTTAAACAATAATCATAAGAAAAATAATCCTCATCATATTTACTGGATGTAAACAAAAATGTAATTGTACTAGCAAAAAAATAAAACTACTTTCAGCTCTGGTTATTTATTAGGTGACCAAACCAATAAGACAAGTTTCCAATCCACTATAATTCAATAAATAAATATTAATTAAACAATAAATATATATATAAAAAACAACAACAACAACAAAACGGTGCATTATAATGAGGGCCCCAAACTCAAGTTCGTCTAGGGCCCTCAAATTCCTAACTCCGCCAGTGTGTAAGGTAGATCTGTTTAATGTCATACTGCGGAAAATTCCAGGCAGAGCAATGACATCTCCATGGAAACAAGCAGATGACGGACCCCCAAACGAAAAATGACATTAAAGTGCAATTTGCAAAGCTAAATTTGCAACACAATATTGGATGTTAGTTTCATAATTTATTTCAAATTCTAATCATAACAGTAAAATCGTGTAATAACGTCACAGTGATGTTGTACTTCGATCCCGTTACAAAGATAGGAAGATATCTGTATTGTTATGGCACCGTCTTATCACGTACCACAGCTGCTATCTGTCTAATGGGCCATTCATGTAGTCTGGAAACTGATTGCGCTGTGAAAAAATAACACTTCTGAAGTCATTTTCCTTGATGGGATTATGTCAGAGTGCCCTGAAGACGAGGAGGTGAAGGAGGGAGGGGATGTTTTGAAAGTTAAAATCTCTCTTTTCGTGTTTGATATCAGATTCAAGGTTGGGCGTTTGATAAAGTCCAATTTTTTATTTTATTTTTTTACACTGCATTAAGATGGAGGTTTTATTTAAAGTCAATGTAATCCCAAAAATCTTTATTTATTAGGAAAAATACATTGCTATCTGAGACAAATCTTTCATAAAAAGCCTTCAGTTGATGCCTTAAAAGTGCATCGTGTAACTTTTCTGGTGGAGGGTTCGTCAAATGTTTTTCGTCATGGAGATGTTATTGCTTTGTCTGGAATGTTTCACAGTATGGCGTTAAAGCTTTCTATCGTCATGGTGAGCAAACCAGACCAAGTTACAGGTCAGATCTGTGGAGAGGCGACCCCGCACACAGTCAGAAAGCCTTGTTTTTTTTTAAGTATTTTTGAGCTATAAAACCACCTGTAATTGAATAAATGTAAGGTACAACTGTTTAAAGTCATACTGTGGAACATTCCAGGCAGAGCTATGACGTATCCATGGAAACAAGCAGGTGTCGGACCCCTCAGACAATAAGTTACACAGTGCACCTTTAAGTTCATGCATTAATATTTTGAAAGATAAATAAAATAACAACATAAGTTACATTAAATTAAGAAAACTGAACATTTCTTCCTCATGAAACAGGACTTTTGTAAATCGCCAATGTTTTATGCCTTCGTTTTCTTTGATATTGATGTTTACATTTTTTACAGGGTCCATTTTACGCTGTTTTCTGATTTTTTATAATGTTGTTTCCTCATCAAAAACATACAGCAACAGACTAATAATAAAGAATTACTCAAACATGTGTGAATGAAACAAAATACAACTATCTTAGCGATGTTTCTGATGAGGTAAAAACATTATAACTTGGCTTAAAAAGAGAGAAAATTTTGCATAATATAGGACCTTATATACAATGGCATCACTAACTACAAATGTATAAATTCTCCTGTGATTTAAAAATGCAAAATAGATCAATTTAAAGTTGTAAGAAAAACAAGAATTTGGCAGATCCCCCAGTAGAAAAGTTACATTTAGTGCACCTTTAAATCAATCTGTTCTTGAGTTTACATTGTTTATTATCAATTTCAAGTATTACTCCAAAATAATAATAATAATATAGGGAAAACACACTTGAAAAATCTCTATATTCTCATTTCTCACAGGTCCTGGTATCTCGAGTTACGCGTCAGATCCTAAAATGGCGGCTCAGTCTCTGCAGGTGTGCATGAAGGAGGCCGAGCAGTATGTGCCCAGCGAGAGACACCAGGAGACGCCGCTGTACCTGGGAGCCACGGCCGGGATGAGACTGCTCAAGTACGCTCATCTGAAATACTCTCTCACACGTACTACACGCACTGTGCTAAAATATACTTTGCCTGTAAACAACGCAAGCATGAATTGTGCCATTTAGGAGTTTGACTTCAACAAAAAAGACTGAGTGACTAATTGAAAAAAATGCCTCTGCTACATAGCCTGGGACTGTAATGCTTTTGGAGAGGGATTTGTTTAATAGTGTTGTAGTACTTGGTCTCGTCTCTGACTCGAGTGCATTTGGACTTGGTCTTGTCTCGGACTCAAGTGCACTTGGTCTCGGTCTTGTCTCGGACTCGAGGTCTGTGCAGAGGCTGCTCAATATCACTGCAAAACCAGTAAAATAATGTCACTGTAAATGTTATGAACTTGAAAAAAACTCACTTGATTCACTTTGAAGTTGTTTTGTGTAAAGCGCCAGTGGAAGCGGGATTAAAGACGGGGTTGTCAAATTGTGCGTCAGGGTCCAAAAAAGGAGTGTTTAAGTGCAGTACAGTTTGCTTGTCTTATTTTAAGCCTAGATGAACATTAACCAGATCAAATGGAGATAGATTTATATAAAAAAATAAAAAAAACATTGATATTCAGTATAAATGTGCCAAAATATCTGTAAAATACAAATAAATGTAGGAAATGACAAAGATGGTCTTGACTTGGTCTTGCCGAGCTGTGGTCTCAATCTTGTCTCGGTCTCGGCCTTTAAAAGTCTCAGTCTTGTCTCGGTCTTGATTCTCAGAGGTCTTGTCTCGGACTCGAGGTCTGACACTCAACAAGTGAGTTCATATTTCACTACAGCCAGTAAATGTGCAGAGGCTCAATATCACTGCAGAACCTTTAAGATAATGTGACTGTAAATGTTATGAACTTGAAAAAATCCACTTGATTCACTTTAAAGTTGTTTTGTGTAAAGTGCCAGTGGAAGTGGGATTAAAGAAGGGGTTTTCAAACTATGGGTGAGGGTCCAAAAAAGGGGTGTTTAAGTGCAGTACAGTTTGCTTAAATGAACATTAACCAGATCAAATGGAGATATTATATATATATATATATTTATTAATTATATATTAAAATAATATTTATAATTAAATATATTATATATATTTATTAAAAAAAAAAACATTGATAAACAGTATAAATGTGACAAATAAATGTAGGAAATAGCAACGATGGTCTTGATTTGGTCTTGATGGGCTGTGGTCTTGTCTCGGTCTCGATCTTTAAAAGTCTTGATCTTGACTCTCGAAGGTCTTGGTCTTGTCTCGGTCTTGGACCCTGTGGTCTCGGACTGGTCTTGGACTCAGTTAGTGCGGTCTTGACTGCAACACTATTGTTTAAAAGTACAAAATCATCCCACCTGTTGTAGTTCTAACTAAGTCAGGGCTTTTATGGTCAGGTTGTGTTAAAAAAAAAAAAAAAAAAAAAGCCCAGGTTAAAGTCTAAATTGAGTAACAGAGCTTCAGACTCTGGTAAAGTTGGTAAAGCAATAACGTCTTCATCAAAACAAGCAGGTGACAGCTCTTATTCCCCACCAAAGTTACATCGTCGACCTTTAAATATTAAATTATGTAGGACTGAAGATGAGCGCTTTATTTCAGTACAAGACATGAATCCTGACTGAGTGTGCAGATTTTGTACAATATTGAATATCAGTACATTTATACAGTCCTGGTCTGTACTGTTCACTCCCAATAGGAAAGGCCACTTCATATTTAGAGAGCTGTGACAGAATCCAATCGCATTTCCACTCCTGCCTTTTCCATCTGACAAAACATGATTTATTTCTATGTCGACTCCACTGCAACACACACTACAGTACACACGACACCGCGCACACTACAGTACACACGACACCACGCACACTACACTGAATCTAATCCATTATGTGCAGTGGGGGCTCTCTGCATTTAGTATACAGCTATTGACTTCTATTATAAATAAATATTGCTACTCTATATGTAGAAATTAAAGTTGAAATTTGAAAGAAGGAACTATACTGTCTCAAATCTTGTACTTAAGTTTAGTTTAGACCTCTAGACACGTTCTGAAATACATGGGATTCTTCAAATTTCAGTCTTAATGCTCCTCGAGTTGTTTATTATCCGAACAGAATCCTATTTTTTTATGCAGTGTTCATTTTTTGAGCTTTCTGTCATGTTATAATTTGGTTCCCTTATCAAAAACATGCCTAAAGACGTTTTAGATGTCATCCATGCATGTCTGAGTAATTTAGTGATCTTTCCCGGGTCCTGTTTGAACTCTCGACATGCCTCCGTGCAACAATTCTCCATAAATATACAAAAACATGACACAAAACTGTACACAACAGCTTAATCCAGTGTGTAGTTGTTTAATTAGTTGATTGTGTTGTGACAGCGCTCTGAAGGGGTGTGACTTAGCGCAGAGAGCAAAGGGAGAGGGACTTAAAAAACATGATAATAAGTTGTTTTTGGTGAATCTTGCATTTTTAAAACAATAAAAGGTAACATGGTGATCTAAATATTTTATGTGTCAGCAGTTAAGAGCCCATAGATGTAAAATACCCCCAGTTTTAACCATAAATAGCAAATCAAATCACAGTAGTTATTAGAAAAACAAAAAGAAATTTCCTCAAAACAAAATTAACATGAGAATATGTTGTTTGTGTTTGTGTTTTCCCGTTGCAGTATTGAGAACAGCGCAGCGTCAGATCAGGTTTTCCAGGCCGTGTCCGAGAGTCTGCAGAAGAGCCCTTTCTCGTTCCAGGGAGCGCGAATCCTCAGCGGGCAGGAAGAGGGCGCCTTCGGGTGGGTCACCGTCAACTACCTGGACGATCGTCTCAAACAGGTCTGTGGATTCAACAGTAACAGTTTATGTATAATACACGCGTCAAGAATCTCGGACTTCCGGTTATTGAGCAATGCATACTGAGAAGGATTTTCCAAAAAAGTGAGCATCAAACCGCCATGTTTGATTTCCCAGTGGGATGCATCTATTGACAAAGCCGATTTTTTCAAGTCTTTTGAACCATATCACTTTTGTTTCTGGTTCTGATATTGTCATATTTTAGTTTTGGGATTCTGACATCGTAATTGTGTGGTTGTTGGATGTCCTAACAGCGGAAAACGGCTCAAGAAATTTGTTCGCGAACTTCATAAATGCAAAAGTGAATCAGATCTGTGTGACTCCAAACCTCCGTTCAAACTGTTTCCCTTCCTAAGGGAATTGAAAAATAGTGAAAGGTGAAGGTGATGGGCAGGATCGATCCACGGGAAGGACAACAAAGGTAATCTCTGACTTGCTTTGATGGTGCTCCACATACAAAATGTTCACTACAAACTCGTGACGATTTAAGCAGTCAGAGGTTTCCTTTTTTGTCCTTCTTGCGTATCAATCCTGCCCATCGCTTTCACCTTTCACTATTTTTTAATTCCGTTGGAAGGGAAACAGTTTGAACGGAGGTTTGGAGTCACACACATCTGATTCCCTTTTGTATTTATGGAGTTCGCAAAAAACAAATTTCTCGAGCCGTTTGACGAATCCCAAAAAAAAAATGACAATATCAGAACCAGAAACAAAAGTGATATGGTTCAAAACACTAGAAAAGTTCGGCTTTGACAACAGACACATCCCACTGGGAAAACAAACATGGCGGTTTCTTGCTCACTTTTTCGGAAAATCCCTCCCAGTAGTCTGCTTGATGCTCAATAATATGAGCCAGATGAGAAATAGATAAAGTAGCTTAACAGAAAAAAAAAACAAACATATATATACACTTGCCTGGGATCCAGAATACACACTTCTTCAGTACTTTATGAAGATGTGAGTCTGGTCACTGGTGAATCCCCCTGAGTTTAGATGGACGTGACTGACAGGTGGATTAGCCAATCAGGGGCAGGCATGATCTGGCCATATCAAAACAAATACGCCTGCTTACAAGGAAAATGACAGGAAAAAAATATCACAGGGTCTGATTTCTGCAGAATCAATGAGCAACGCAGTAAAAAACAAACAAATCTCACTGCAGGATCACATTTGGCTGAGTTTAAGATGCAACAAAGGACATGGGGACCAGACTGGTATCTGTATAAAAATACAAAGAGATATCATTCTAGCTTTGCCAGGCCCTTCATTGGGGCAGACTGGAAGAAATAGGGTAGATTAACTGAAAACAAGGCTCGCAGGTAAACCCAGACAAAGCAGGTTCTGGTTTTAACTCCCCCCTTTAGAGCAGGACTAATCAAACTCAGAGCAGTATAGATTCTAGCTTCTCGGGCCCCAGTTCCTTGAAATTGAAAATGACTTCCAGATGGCCGTCCAAATGTCTCAATTTCAAAAAACTTTGCCCAAACGCCTTTCTTTGAAACCTCATGGACCGCTTCTGGGTGTATAAAAGATTTCACTGGAAAAACATGTAAGAAATGTCCCACAATTACACCGAACATTCACACATGAGGAGATAATTACAGTTACGTCTTTACTTGTGGCAGCGTTGTAGTACAGTCATCGTCATATTGTCATCATTATTTCACTCTGTACTCAGTGGTGGTGAGATGCTTTTGTAGCCACAGCTGCCCCGGGGTAGACTGACAGAAGAAGCTGCCAATCTCTACTCTTTGAACATCACTAATCACTCACAAGCCACAGTCATATGGAGATAAGGTGGGTAAGGTGTCTTGCCCAAGGACACAATAACAAAATACACTGGTCAGTGGTGGGAAGTGCTAACACTGCAACTACATTAAGACACAAGAACCTCTAGTGAAAGAAGTCTCAGTTCTGCATCATGTAAATTGTTTGTTACATAAAGATGAAGTGTCCTTTTAAAAAACATTGCAAAAGAAAAATAAGTACAAATCAGGTTGCAGTTTAAAACACAAATAAAAGGAAAATTGGGCAAGAGCACGCCAGAATCATCATGTTTCTTAAAGGTGCACTGTGTAATATTTCTGGTGGAGGGTTCGCTACCTGCTTGTCGTAGTTTTGTCTGGAATGTTCCATAGTATAGATAAAACCTATATCACAACTAAGTCTGGTCCAGGTCTCAGTCCCGGTCTGGTCCTGGTCTTAGTCCCAGTCTGGTCTCAGTCCAGGTCTCATTCATGGTCTGGTCCTGGTCTGGTCCCAGCATCAGTCATGATCTCAGTCCCGGTTTGGTCCCGGTCTCAGCGCCGGTCTCAGTCCTGGTCCTGGTCCCGGACTCATTGCTGGTCTGGTCCCGCTCTAAGTCTTGGTCTCAGTCCCAGTCTCGTTCCAGTCTGGTCCCAGACCTGGTTCAGTCCTGGTTCAGCAAACGAGAAACGGTCGTTATCCATTTTTTCCGTTATTCGTTTAAACACAAAATCAAAAACTGAAAAAACGAATCATTATCCGTTTTTTTCATTTTGGTGTTGGAGACAAATAATGAAGAAAATAGTTGTTTTTTCATTTTCTTATTTTTGTATTTATTTAGAAAAATGAATGAAAGAATGATACATGGATTATATTCTAATATGTATATGTATTTTTGTGTTATTGTCCTTTCAGGGCCTGGAGACCACAGGAGCGCTGGACTTGGGCGGAGCGTCCACTCAGATCAGTTTTATCTCGGACACTTTCGACAGCTTAGAATCTCCCACTAATGCTGTCACTTTCCGTCTCTACGGCAACGACTACAACCTGTACACCCACAGCTTCCTCTGCTACGGCAAAGACCAGGTCCTCCGCATGTCCATCGCTCACCAGACAAAGGTACACCACAGGCCGAGATCTTCAGTTCAGACACAGAATTCAACTTTGACTGGTTTTAGTTTAATAATAAGTAAGAATGTAACAATAACCGAAATATCGTGATATCGTATCGTCAAAAGTCTCGCAATATACGGTATATCAAATCACAAGTTTGTTTACTTAAATGCATTGTTTTATAGTATCAACAGCTTATAAACATCGAAAACTACATATCCCATGATTCATTTCAGCGCAGATAATGTGAAGAACTAGAAAAGCACTCAGAGAGCGCAGACCTCCGCCAAGGACTACCCCCATTTTTTATATAAATTGCGATAAAATCAGTCTTCTGGATCAGATCCGGATCAGCCTTTGGAATATGAAAGAGGATCCCATTGTCCATCCCTGAGTCAAATTTCATGGGGTTTGGTCAATAATTAACCGAGATATTGAGAAACAAAATGTTTGGCCCCATTTACCACAATGTTAACTAAAATTTCAAAGTGATCCAGAATCCAGGATTTCTTCTGGATCAACCCCAAAATGAAATCAGTTCTTCCTTTTCACATTTTCAACAAATCCTGAAAATTTCATCAAAATCGGTCCATAACTTTTTGAGTTATGTTGCTAACAGACAAACAAACAAACAAAAACAAACAGACAAACGCCGGCAAAAACATAACCTCCTTGGCGGAGGTAAATATGTTTTTACTTGAATTCCTGGGATTATGATGGAAATAATTCAGACCAAAATCTGGTCAATAAGCAAAAACGTGTCCTGTCTACAATTATATCAGCCTCTTCAAAATATCGCAATAAATATCGTACCGTGAGATGCATATCGTGATAATATCGTACCAAGAGATTTGGATATCGTTACATCCCTAATAATAAGTTAATGAGCAAAATAATAATGATTTATGTGGAATTAATGGGTTTCAGCTTCCTGTTATATGCAACATTTTAAAGAATTTTCACATTCAAAAGATATAGTCATTTGTTTAAATTGTTAATCGCTATGGCAACGGTCCTCAAAACTGAAACTGAGCTCAAAATGCTTTGTTTTACAGCTACATTTATAAATTTTTTAGGCCACGTTTATATAATGACGGTCTGAACAGAAGACGCAAAAGTGGTGTCGCACCTTAATTTTTTATTCCGTGTTTAGACGAGCGTTTTGGGAGGAAATCTGTGTGCATACGGTGACGCAAAAGTGTGTGGAATTCGATGTATGGAAATGATCCGACATGTTTGTTTCTGTGTACTATATGTGACGGCAGTGTAGACGGAAACGTTACAGCGGATTATATTCAATTTTTCCACTCTGGAGTGTGGTTTCAGATTTTTGCATTTTTAAACCTCAAAAACGCTGTTACCATCTAAACAAAAGGCACTTCTGATAAAATATTTTGTTGTTTTTACTCTCAAGTGTTGTCATGTAAACAGGCCCTTAATAAAGTTTGGAGATTCCAGGGCTGAAATGATCCAAACAATTCTAGTGTTTCCCACAGAAAACAGGCAAGGTGGAGATTCCGGGCCACTCGTTGTCAGGACGGCCGATTTAACTTTAAAAAGCTGCGGGAAACACTGGATTTTAGTGAATTAATTATGAATTAATAATCCAATCTCTAATGTTACTGTGGATCATTCTAGATAAAACTATGACATTTCTATGGAGACAATTAGGTCCCAGAAATGTTGCAAAGTGTCCCTTTAACTATGAATTAATACGAAATGTAAATACAAACTCCATCATCTTGAATCAACCTTTTTAAAAACACAGTGGAACACATCCTGTATGACCACATGACATCACAAGATGGAACAGTGTTTTCCATTTGAGAGAAGAACTCAGGTGTGACTGAAATAAAACACAACTCCAGGTCTGTTTTTGATGAGGAAATGACATTATAACCAGTGTTGGGAAGGTGACTTTTAAAATGTATTCCCCTACAGATTACAGATTACATATCCCAAAATGTAGTTTGTAACGTAATCCATTAAATTACTTAAAGTGAGTAACGTAATCTGAATACTTTGGATTACGTGATATTGTCATGTTTTTTAAAACTACATGAATGTACCAACCACATCCTGAAAATTCTTGTTTGTTCAGTCTTTATTTGACCAGATTAAAAATATTATTGATAGAGAAATGATTTTTATATGAGATCAATGCTGCCTTAAATTATGTCCACACTACTGTTAGTGTCATATTGTATTAGTTTAGTCCTAGTTTAGACCTGGTTTAGTCTTAGTTTAGTCCGGGTTTAGTCCTGGTTTTAGACCTGGTTTACACCTGGTTTAGTCCTGGTTTAGTTCTGCTTTTAGTTCTGGTTTTAGTTCTGGTTTAGTCCTGGTTTAGTCCTGGTTTAGTCCTGGTTTAGTTCTAGTTTAGTTCAGTCCTGGGTTTAGTCCTGGTTTAGTTCTAATTTAGTCCTGGTGTAGTCCTGGTTTAGTCCTGGTTTTAGTCTTGGTTTTAGTCTTGGTTTTAGTCCTGGTTTAGTCCTGGTTTAGTCCTGGTTTAGTTCTAGTTTAGTTTAGTCCTGGTTTAGTTCTAGTTTAGTCCTGGTGTAGTCCTGGTTTTAGTCTTGGTTTTAGTCTTGGTTTTAGTCCTGGTTTAGTCCTGGTTTAGTTCTAGTTTAGTTTAGTCCTGGTTTTAGTCCTGGTTTAGTTCTAGTTTAGTCCTGGTGTAGTTCTGGTTTTAGTTCTGGTTTTAGACCTGGTTTACACCTGGTTTAGTCCTAGTTTAGCCCAAAATGTGAAAACAGGAAAATACCGCCGTGTAATCCATTTATTTCAACAAAGTAACTGTAATCCAATTACCACTCACTGAAACAGTAACTGTAACTGAATACAGTTACTCATCATTTGTACTCTGATTACATAACTCCAGTACATGTAATCTGTTTCTCCCCAACACTGATTATAACATAGATCAGAAAATGGCGTAACATGGGCCCTTAGTTATATAAAGTTATATAATTTAACAAGTTTCAGACACATGTTTTGATGTTTGATTATTCTATATTTTCCATTTGAATCATATTTATTCATAGTTTTCCAATAGGTGATTTCACCAACGCTCTTCTGTACATGTCACATCAATCTCCATAACATCTGCCATGTGCTCCCGCTGTGATGTGCTCAGTCTTAATTTTATCCATCTGTTCTTACGTCTTTTGTCCTTCAGATTTTCGACTTCCAGCCTGACTTTAATCGCCTTTACTGTAAACATGTCTCGCTAATATGAAAAGATAATGTTTTAGTCTCATTTGAAGTTACATATTAATACTTTCCGTCACGCTGGGGCTATTCTACGTGTATGTGCATGGTGGAATGTTCACCAGTTACCATGGAGACACAAACAATGCACAGATTAGCAAATACTGACAAAATAGTTTTAAGATAGTCAGGAAAACTCAAGATAAAATACAAAATGGGTTTAAAATGGATCAATACAAACGTTCATGGTCCTGTTTAGGTGTTTGATATTCATCAAAAGTGTGTGAAAGTGAAATCAGATCAGTTGACGTTCCAACTATGACTATGTTGACCCAATTTTTTTTTTGCCCCTATGCTCCAGTATCTGATCTTTTAGTGACAGTCTGAATGACACAGATCAGATTTTTTCAAAATGTGACCCAGGCCACTTGGATATGTGCTCCTAAAGCCGATACATATCCGATCTTTTGACATGCGTCTTCAGTCTGAACGGTCAGGTCGCATTCATCCCACCTACACGTCAGGCTCAGCGTCCAGTCAATGCAGGGAAAGCGAGGTTAGTGAGTTTATTGCCATTAGGCCAGTTAATAAGCAGCAATAACGTGTCCTACCACAATTATGCAGACGACACTCAGATCTACGTCTCTCTGGCAGCAGGAGACTATGGACCAGTGGACTCACTCTGCCACTGCGTCCAACAGATCAGTGTGTGGATGCAAAACAACTTTCTCCAGCTAAACTCTAACAAGACTGAAGTCATAGTGTTTGGTCCACAGAAACAAAGGGACAGTGTCAGCATCACCTCCAGTCTCTCTCTCTAAAACCTTCAAATCAGGTAAGAAATCTAGGGGTAATAATGGACTCAGACTTGAACTTTAACAGCCACATCAAATCAATAACATCTGCAGCCTTTTACCATCTAAAAAACATAGCAAAAATCAAAGGTTTACTGTCTAAACAGACTTGGAGAAACTTATCCATGCGTTTGTCTCCAGTAGGTTAGATACTGTAATGTTCTGCTCACTGGTCTCTCCAAACGAGCTGTGAGACGCTGCAGAACATCCAGAACGCTGCAGCTCGGGTCCTTACTCGAACTAGGAAGTACGAGCACATAAGTCCTGTGCTCAGGTCTCTGCACTGGCTCCTGTGCCTCAGAGAATAGAGTTTAAAGCAGCTCTGCTTGTACAAGTCTCTCCATGGCACCAAAGTCCATCTGTGACATGTTAGTGTCATATGAACCATCTCACACTCTGAGGAGCTCAGGGACCGGCCTCCTGCTGGTGCCCAGAGTCACGACTAAACAAGGGGAGTCAGCGTTTCAGGTTCACGCAGCTAAAACCTGCAACAGTCTGAACATGTGAGACAGACTCTTCTGTGACGCTGTTTAAATCCAGGCTCAAAACATTTCTGTTTAACTGTGCATAGAACTGAAAGGTTTTCATTCCGTACTCTTCTCTCCAATTTATGTCTCTCTTTTTTAATTTTAATCTTCATGATTATTTATGTTTTGATTTGTTTTTATAATGATTTTAATGTATTTTTTATTCTGTAAAGCACTTTGAATTACTTTGTGTACGAATTGTGCTGTACAGATAAACTTGCCTTGCCTTGCCTATTAATATTTGGGGGGGGATCGCTGTATTCATGCCAAATTGGAAGAGTCTTATAGGAACCGGGCAGTTTCTGAAATTATTGCCAAAGAAATGTCCGAGCGCAGCTACAGACGGTCCTGACTCCAATGTCAACGAAAACTAAAAGAACCTGCGAGCCAAATACAAGGAGACTAAAGACTCAAACAAACGAAGCGGCCGTGGACGTGTAATCTGTCCATTTTATGAAGAACTGGACCTTATTTTGAGGAGACAAGCTGAGCTTTTAGGCGACTTCCATAAACAATGAACACGCTCACTGTGTGTGATGTCGTTGTGTCCTTCAGTGCACATGCGGGACACTTTTGATGCGTTTAAAGTTCACACTGGAGATCACATACAAGTCGCACTGAACTGGAAATGTGAATGAAAAAAAAAAAAAACGGATTTCACAAAAAAATCAGAATTGAGCATTAAGCCCTGCAGTCTGAACGTAGCCTTAGTCAGTTCTTTCTGGTCAGATTGTGTTAAAACAAAGATCAGATTAAAGTCTAACAGGCTCCAGACAGCGCAGTGCTTACAGTTAGCATCACAGTCCCAGGCAATGTCGATGAGCTGCAAAGGATCAATAATTTATCCGGTTTTAGACACATGTTTGGATTATTCTGTCTTTTCCTTTAACTCGTATGTGTTCACAGTTTTCTAACATTTTCATTTATCGTATCTTTTACTTTTGTCTATAAATCATCTTTTGTACATTTAATTCAAACACATTTAAAACTACTTCAGATGACAAAAACAAAAGTCAACAAAAGCAGAAATATCAGATATACAGATAACAGGGTACATGGGAAAACTACAATCAAACACAGAGATATCCTGTATATCTAGTATCTGTACATGTGAAAACTTCTCCACAACATTAATCGTGAGCTCCCATGTGTTGGACTCTTTCCTAATTCTGTCCATCTGTCGTCTGTGTGGTTTGGTCTTACGTCTTTTGTCCTTCACATTTCAGACTTCAAACCTGATTTTAATTACCTTTACTGTAAAACCTGTCTTGAGATTATGAGCAGATGTTGTTTTATCCTTATTTAAATCAGGTCTAAACCAGGCCTAAACCAGGATTAAACCAGGACTAAATCAGAACTAAACCAGAACTAATTCAGGACTAAACCAGGTCTAAATCAGGTCTGTAACCAAGTCTAAACCAGGACTAAACTAGGACTAAACCAGATCTAAAACCAGGTCCAAACCAGGACTAAAACAGGGCTAAAACAGAACTAAAACCAGGTCCAAACCAGGACTAAACCAGGTCTAAATCAGGTCTGTAACCAAGTCTAAACCAGGACTAAACTAGGACTAAACCAGATCTAAAACCGGGTCCAAACCAGGACTAAACCAGGTCTAAAACAGGTCTAAAACCAGAACTAAACCAGGTCTAAAATCAGAACTAAACTAGGTCTAAAACCAGGTCCAAACCAGGACTAAACTAGGTCTAAACCAGGACTAAACTAGGATTAAACCAGGTCTAAAACCAGGACTAAAATACATCTAAAATCAGGTCTAAACCAGGACTATAACCAGAACTAAAATCAGGACTAAAACCAGAACTAAACCAGGTCTAAACCAAATCTAAACCAGGTCTAAACCAGATCTAAACCAGGTCTAAACCAGGATTTAACCAGGTTAGATTAGTTGTATACTTGTTCTTGATTTCCATACATTGACAATATTTTCAGATAATGTATTTTTAATCAGGTTTTAAGACATATATTTTCCTTTTTAATCATATTTATTTACTCTTTTTTAACTAACTTCATTTACTTATGTTTTACTTCTATCTATAAATCATCTTTTGGGTCTTTCACCACCTCTCCTCTCCACAACATCCAACCTGAGCTGTCCGTGTGCGCACTCCTTCCTAAATCTATCCGTCTGTATTCTATTCTTACATCTTCTGCCCCTCACATTTCACACTTCAGACCCGGCCGTGGTAATAAAAGTCTGAAAAGCGGGCCGCAGACGGGCTCTTCTCAAATGTTGTGGAAATGGGGCTGTAATGTAAAATCGCATTATCACCATCCTGTTCGTATAATCCAATCCAAACCTGTTTCCACTGGACTCTGAGCATCTGGCGCCAAGACGTCAGTCAAAGATTCAGTTAGCCCGGGGTTTTTTCTTCGGGATCAGATTTGAATGAAGCAGGTGAAGGCTTAACGTCATAAGAAAGAAGGAAGTCTTGATTGGAAAACTTAAAAATGAGGATTAAAGTGTCCATATTACGCTTTTTGTCAAATCTACTGCATGTTATAATGTTGTTTCCTCATCACAAACAAATCTGGAGTTGTGTTTTGTTTCATTCGCGCATGTTTAACACACAAACTCTGCGTATTTAAGAGGGTTTTTTTTCTCAAACTAAAACCACTTGTGATCATGTGAAACTAAACACACCTTCACTAGAATCATTTGGATAATTTCAGCCCTGGAATTTCCAATTTTGCCTCAATAAAATGTAAATGGTGGCTGTTAATTTGAAAGTTTCAAGTCTCAAGTCTTTGACCTCAAGTCTGAGTCAAGTCCCAAGTCAAATACAGGCAAGTCCAAGTCGAGTCTCGAGTCACTGGCCCATAAGTTCAAGTCAAGTCCAAGTCGTCTGCTTTGAGCGTCAAGTCATTTTAACCAAAGTACCAAATAGAGCTTATATTTTTGCAATTTATATGACTTTTATACTAAATTGTACTTAAAACATCTTAGTATATTTAGTATATAAGAGTTGTAGAATTTAATTTAGTTAATTTTTCCTTTTTAAATGTCTTGACAAGATCTTAGTGTGAATCATTACGGTCAGAATAGAAAGAATTCAGATTTAAAAGTGCTTCTCAAGTCTTGTCAAGTCTTCTCAAGTCCGAGTCCCAAGTCACTGACCTTCAAGTTCAGTCGAGTCCCAAGTCTTTGTCCATTTTATAAAGTCAAGTCTCAAATCCTAAAAATAGTGACTGAAGTCTGACTCGAGTCCAAGTCACGACCTGTAAGTCCCACCTCTGCTAATAACAAAGGGTTACTTAAGCGTTTTATACTCTATAGAAATGCAATCATTTAAAAACTGGACTGGCATTTCAGATTTCAACAAAGTAAAATGTAATTATTCCTTAGTCATAGTCAGTTTTGTCTTTTTAATTGTGTCCAGGCAGTTCTTCTCATGTAATTTCTCTCTGTTAAATGTTTGCTTCTTTCTCCTAGTCAGGCCCAGGATCCATTTCGGACCCGTGCTTCCACAACGGCTACAATGAGATAAAGAACTACACAGTGGTGTACGACAGCCCGTGTGTCTCTGCTCGAAAACCCACCTCCGGTCCCGCCACCTTCACCCACTCGGGGCGAGGGAACTTCGACCAGTGTCAGGAGCTGGTCAAGAACGTCTTTGACTTCACACAGTGCAAGTACAGTCAGTGCTCCTTCAACGGGGTCTTCCAGCCAACTCTGCAGGGGCCCTTTGTAGTGAGTATCATCATAATATTATCATTATTATGGGGTTAAGAGTTCACCAGCTGTCCTTCCTTTCATTGTCCCGCAGCACGGTTTAATCCCCCCCATTTTTTAATAAACATTTTTAGTCCCTGTACTTAAACTAATAATATTTTCACCATCATCATTTCCTTTCATAATCTTTTACTATTTCTTAAAATCTCAAAGCATTATTTTTTTTAAATTATTATTATAATCATTATAACTGTTACAACAACAATAACTGTAATACTTGTTATTGTCTCTACTATTGATTACAATTATTACAACAATAACTTATGAGTAGTAGTAGTAGCAGTAGTAGTAGTAGCAACAGCAGTAGTAGTAGTAGTAGTACTAGTAGTAGTAATAGTAGTAGTAGTAGTAGTAGTAGTACTAGTAGTAGTAATAGTAATAGTAGTAGTAGTAGTAGTAGTAGTAGTAGTAGTAGTAGTAGAAGCAGCAGCAACAGCAGTAGTAGTAGTAGTAGTAGTAGTACTAGTAGTAGTAGAAGCAGCAGCAGCAGTAGTAGTAGTAGTAGTAGTAGTAGTAGTAGTAGTAGAAGCAGCAGCAACAGCAGTAGTAGTAGTAGTAGTACTAGTAGTAGTAGAAGCAGCAGCAACAGCAGTAGTAGTAGTAGTAGTAGTACTAGTAGTAGTAGAAGCAGCAGCAGCAGCAGCAGTAGTAGTAGTAGTAGTAGTAGTAGTAGTAGTAGTAGTAGTAGTAGTAGTAGTAGTAGTAGTAGTAGTAGTAGTAGTAGCAGTAGTAGTAGTAGTAGAAGCAGCAGTAGTAGTAGTAGTAGTAGTAGTAGTAGTAGTAGTAGTAGTAGTAAGTAGTAGTAGTAGTAGTAGAAGCAGCAGCAACAGCAGCAGCAGTAGTAGTAGTAGTAGTAGCAGCAGTAGTAGTAGTAGTAGTAGTAGTAGTAGTAGTAGTAGTAGTAGTAGCAGTAGTAGTAGTAGAAGCAGCAGCAGCAGCAGTAGTAGTAGTAGTAGCAATAGTAGTAGTAGTAGTAGTAGTAGTAGAAGCAGCAGTAGTAGTAGTAGTAGTAGTAGTAGTAGTAGTAGTAGTAGTAGTAGTAGTAGTAGTAGTAGTAGTAGAAGCAGCAGCAGTAGTAGTAGTAGTAGTAAAAGCAGCAGCAGTAGTAGTTGTAGTAGTAGCAGCAGTAGTAGTAGTAGTAGTAGAAGCAGCAGTAGTAGTAGTAGTAGTAGTAGCAGTAGTAGTAGTAGTAGTAGAAGCAGCAGTAGTAGTAGTAGTAGTAGTAGTAGTAGCAGCAGCAGTAGTAGTAGTAGTAGTAGTAGAAGCAGCAGCAGTAGTAGTAGTTGTAGTAGAAGCAGCAGTAGTAGTAGTAGTAGTAGTAGTAGTAAGTAGTAGTAGTAGTAGTAGTAGTAGTAGTAGTAGTAGAAGCAGCAGTAGTAGTAGTAGTAGTAGCAGCAGTAGTAGTAGTAGTAGTAGTAGTAGCAGTAGTAGTAGTAGTAGTAGTAGTAGTTGTAGTAGAAGCAGCAGTAGTAGTAGTAGTAGTAGTAGTAGCAGTAGTAGTAGTTGTAGTAGAAGCAGCAGTAGTAGTAGTAGCAGCAGCAGCAGTAGTAGTAGTAGTAGTAGTAGCAGTAGTAGTAGTAGTAGTAGTAGTAGTAGTAGTAGAAGCAGCAGTAGTAGTAGTAGTAGTAGAAGCAGCAGCAGCAGTAGTAGTAGTAGTAGTAGTAGCAGTAGTAGTAGTAGTAGTAGTAGTAGTAGCAGTAGTAGTAGTAGTAGTAGAAGCAGCAGTAGTAGTAGTAGTAGCAGTAGCAGTAGTAGTAGTAGTAGTAGTAGTAGTAGTAGTAGTAGTAGTAGTAGTAGTAGTAGTAGCAGTAGTAGTAGTAGTAGTAGTAGCAGTAGTAGTAGTAGCAGTAGCAGCAGTAGTAGTAGTAGTAGTAGTAGTAGTAGTAGTAGTAGTAGTAGTAGTAGCAGTAGTAGTAGTAGTAGTAGTAGCAGTAGTAGTAGTAGTAGTAGTAGTAGTAGTAGAAGCAGCAGTAGTAGTAGTAGTAGTAGTAGTAGTAGCAGTAGTAGTAGTAGTAGTAGTAGTAGTAGTAGTAGTAGTAGTAGTAGTAGTAGTAGTAGTAGTAGTAGTAGTAGCAGTAGTAGTAGTAGTAGTAGTAGTAGTAGTAGTAGTAGCAGTAGCAGTAGTAGTAGTAGTAGTAGTAGTAGTAGTAGTAGTAGTAGTAGTAGTAGTAGTAGTAGTAGTAGTAGTAGTAGTAGTAGAAGCAGCAGTAGTAGTAGTTGTAGTAGTTGTAGTAGAAGCAGCAGTAGTAGTAGTAGTAGTAGTAGTAGCAGTAGTAGTAGTAGTAGTAGTAGTAGTAGTAGTAGTAGTAGTAGTAGTAGTAGTAGTAGTAGTAGTAGTAGTAGTAGTAGTAGTAGTAGTAGTTGTAGTAGAAGCAGCAGCAGTAGCGTCTAGTATTTCCAGTTTTTACTCATCCGAGCTCTAACCAGGTCCGGCCCTTTGCTTCTGAGATCTGACAGTATAAAAAAGAGACAATAACTCGGAAAACAGTTAAAAAACCAAGAGAAATCATTTTTAGACATAAATTTTCCAACTATTTTTTCCGTTATAAATGTAGCGCTTTGAATATTTGGCCCCAGACGACCTGTGGTGAAGTCTTTCTCATATCTGTGTCTGTCTGAAGTGTCTCTGTGACATTGTGATGTGACTTATGTAACCGTGAGTGTGTTTGGATGAGACAGTCCGGTCTTTACCTTGACAGTGTTTTAATTGGAGCAGTGAGTGGTGCTTGTTGACCTTAGACTTCCTTATCAGAGGAAGGGCAGCTTCCAGAAACTCTTTTATTGTCAGTGTGTGAAACAGTAGAACGCAATAAACATGAGCATACGCCCGGGTTTAATCACTGCCCGTCTGAAATAATATTACTTCTACTGTGATAAAAGTAGATATTCACAATAACACTCACATATAGGCATTTTAAATATAAATTAATTATCAAAACCAGATTAATCTTATTGCTGTGTTGGTTACATAAACATTGTGATGAGATGTTAAACCAGCTTACACAAATTTTAAAGGTGCACTATGTAACTTTTCTGGTCTGGGTCTGCTGCCTCCGTGTTTCCATAGAGATGTAATTCCCTCGCATGTAATGTTCCACAGCGTAACATTAATTTTTATCTCTGTACTTAATCATAAATACCTTGAAACACATTCATTCTCACTCTTCACAGATCCGACCTGTAACGTTACTGTGGATCATTCTAGACCACAGGTGTCAAACATACGGCCCGGGGGCCAGATCCGGCCCTCCAAGACCTTTAATCTGGCCCTCGGCTGATTTTCTACTAAAATATTTTTATTATATTTTCTATTAAAATCTTGTTAATTTTCTGTGGTGTTTATCACAGCAGCGTCTCCAGTGTCTCTGTACGTGGCCCCTCCCACCAGAGCAGCACAAATGAAGACTTGTCTCTTTCCAAACGCTCTTAAAGGACGATCGTTTTGACTGTTGACCGTGACACCCTCATCAGAAAAATGAATGAAAAGTGGAGCCGAGTGCAGGATTTTACAACAAAAATTGACTTATTCCTATTTACATCCAAGTTAATGTTAAAACTTTGTGTTGAAATTGCATTTTTTTTTTAAGTTTCAGGTTGTTCATAATATTATAATATTTTGTAAAAGAAAGAGTTCATCAATTAAAAAAATATTTCTGTAATAGATTTGTGTTTCTCTGCACAAATATTTGAACTCATTGTTATTTTTGGGGTTTATATGACATGAGTTTTCTGATCCGGCCCCTTTAGGATCAAAGTCAGTTGGATACGGCCCCTGGACCAAAATGAGTTTGACACCCCTGTTCTAGACAAAACTATGACATCTCTATGGAGACAGTTAGGTCCCAGAAATGTTACATAGTGCTCCTTTAACTAAATTTTTAATACTTTTGCTAAATGAACTGAAAGACTTAAGCTCTGTTAGGGACAATGGAACTAAAAAAAGAACCGAGATGGATAATGGAATAAATTAAATAATGTTTAATTAACAGGGATGTAAAAGATAAATGAACAAAGTAGACTAAATATATATATAGAAAATAACCTAAACTAAGAAACAAAACAGAACAAAAACGGGTCACGCAGGCGTACAAAAAAATGAGTGATTAAACTAAGGGACACACAAAAACTAAAACACAAGTGCCCCTAAGTAAAACCACATAAACCCACAAAAAGAATCGAGTGGCAAATTTTTTTAAAAAGGCATAAAACAGAAGTTAACAAGCGCAGTTGGAAATAGCAACCTGGTCTCCCATGAGGCATCGTGGGGACAGTTTATCACCACAGAAGCAGCTTATGAGGAGCCCAGCCCATATAGAATGTCTGTGTTTACTTTTTCTGAGATTTTGAGACCACCCCCGCTGCTCTAGCTCGATCCTTCTCGGAGTTATGACCAAAAACGCATATTTGAACTTGGTTACCTTGACCGGTTTCAACCTGTAACATCCAGTGTACCCCGGTTATGCGTGTGCCAACTTGTGCGATGACTGGGTGAATATTTTAGGCCGCACATGGTTCAGAAATTGCCTGTCCTTTATAATGGCGTGACCTTTCAATTGACCCGTGTGATCTCAAATGACCTCGGATTGTCACCACATTTGTTTTTTTGCAGCATGGGGCGTGGAGGCTTGATCCACGGACCAAATTTGGTGACAATCGGTCCATAAATGACGGAATTATCGCGGGTGGACAGACACACACAGACACACAGGGTGAATACAAAACCTGGTAGACCCATCGGGGACCAGGTAACTAGAGTCTCAACCAAACAAAGTCAGACACGTACAAGCACAAAACGAGTGAATGACAAGAAAGAGACACACACGAACACAAAATGGCACATGGACCACCGAGACCTGCAGCCCCAAACAGGGGGAGGAGGGTTAAGGTGAGACAGGATTGGCCAGATGTAAAAGTACTCCACCAATTATGGACCAGGGCTCTCACAGCAGGATTCAGGACAGCCAGAAAAATAAATTAAAACACAAAACAAGGCAAAACTGAAGGTCTGGGGCGGTAACAGAACTGTATTCACACGAACTCCCATCATCTTGAATCAACCTTTCATCGCTATTCTAATTAAAGACAGGGCGGCCTTCCCTTCCTGTGATAAAACACAAAATGAAGCTGTATCCATCTCTGTTATCTCCTGAGACAGAGGGAAGAGGAGTGTACGACTAAAATACCCTGCGTCCATGACCTTTGTGACCCTCCTGTCTTCCCTTAGGCCTTCTCCGCGTACTTCTTCGTCATGGACTTCCTGAACCTGACGGATACTTCTGTTCCGCTGGAGAAAGTGAAAGAAGCTCTGGCCGGTTTCTGCGCCACGCCCTGGGACACGGTGAGGATGATTTAAAATGTCCTCTTCGTACTTTCAGAGCGTTGTAATTTATTACTGGAACGTGCTTCATGCGTGTTCTAACCTAATGTATCAAAAGTGTCACACTGTGGACCATTCCAGGCAAAGCGGGAATCTTCTATATTTGATTTTAGTACAACTGAACCTGGGCTGCCAATGCCTTAAGGGATCACTGTGAAACTTTTTCTAGTTGAGGTTAAACTACAGCATGTCATTTCTGGATTAGAGTTGACAGGAATATTCAACACTGTGACATTAAACTTAGCTATTAAATATTTATTCATTTGTTTTTTTTTTATTGCTTAAAAATGCAATAAAAGGTTTGGGCTTGCCTCTTCACAGATCTGACCAGACTGGCTGTGGGTGTTGGGGTTTGGGTGGTGAGGGTTTAGATCAGAGAGAGGTTTTTTTTAGGTTTAAAACAACTGGATTTCACCATTGAAACTGGCAACATAAACATAAACATAAACATAAACATAAGGGTCCGTCCATATGAAATCATCTAAAAATTCTAAAAACTAATCCAAAAAAATCACCAAATGAAAGAATAAAAAATTTTAGCTCAATCCTTTGAGTCGTTCCTGAGTTATGGCCCATTGAAAGTTTTTCAGAGACCTTCATTTATAATCATTTTTGAGAAACCATAATTTCATAAAAAATAGAGCTAGGAAGCTGAACATTTTTATTATTGTAGATTCTTGGTCATAAATTCTAAATCTGTTGTCAAATACTATAATATGACGTTTGAAATGAAGTTAATAGTAGATGTTTTATTACTTTAATCTAATCAGAATAATGCCAAAGTGTCTCTGGTAAAAAATATTATCAACATCTAACTGTGCCCACATGGGGAAATGAGGGTCCAAAGAAGAAATTTGGTCTGTGTCCATATTTGGGGCTCTACACCGTCCACATGAAAGCTCAGAAAAGTGTGAGATTGTTGTCAGAAATGGTCATTCTTTCAAATATTCAGGTTCAACAGTTAGTTTGTAAATATCTGCTTGGAGTAAATACATCTTGGACCTCAAAAATTTAAAAATAAATCGAGCTGCAACCAAATTTGAGATTTTAGAGGCCCACAGTGCCCCCCTTAATAAAGATATCTAATATTTGACAACAGATTCAGAATCTATGACCAAGAATCTACAATATTACAAATTTTCAGCTTTCTAGCTCTATTTTTTATGACGTTTTGGTCTCTCAAACATGCTTGAGGTATCTGAAAAAGTGAGCATGGCCCCAAAATTTCAATGCGCCATAACTCAGGAACGACTGAAGGGACTGAGTTAAAATTTGAGATTCTTTCATTTGGTCATTTTAGAAATTTTTAGATTTTTTTTTTTAGCTAAATCTGAGATGTCTCATAGGGGAGATTCCTTAAAAATGTCTGATTTCACACGGACTCACCCATAAACAAGAATATATCAGTGTTACAATCTGTAAAAGTTGTATTTGATTTAAACTTGTCTGCTTCATATTCAAGGACTCATTTCAGGGTGGTCATTTTGTAAAATTTTGAAATCCAGATCTTACACACTGTTCCTTTTATAGATTTTTTAACCTCTGCACATGGAATTTCCTTAATACTTTATTATTCTTGCCCCAATTATCAAACACTATCTTTGCTTTTCTCCACAGATAAAGACACGGTATCCGAGCGTTAAGCTGAAGTACTTGTCTGAGTACTGTTTCTCAGGCACGTACATCCTCACTCTCCTCACAGAAGGATACAACTTCACCTCAGAGACTTTCTCCAACATCAAGTTCATTAAAAAGGTCAGTAAAAAAAAAAAAAAACAAAAAAAAAGCATATCACTAAAGCAGGGGTTTAAAACATACACTGAAATACTGATTGTTGGTTCATTTGAGTATAAGGTTGGTACACATTTATCTTAGGTGTATTACAGTTACTTTATTAATCTTAAAGTCTTGTAAAAAATAAGAGTAACATTTTTATGGCCATGAAGATATCACTGTTATTTTTCACAAGACCCAGATATACTGCTATAATGAGACTTTATTTATATCTAATTTAAACAGTCTGATTTCATTTATTTATTTAACTTTAAGATGTATTGTACTCAAAGTTTTAACCATTTATGAATACCGACATCATTTTTAACTTAAGATAACGTTCATTCACTATTATGGGGCTCATTAAAAAGCCTTTAACTGGCCTCTGTAGTGCTATTGTGCCATCTAGTGGATGTCAGATTTGTTACAAGTATTTTTTATTTTCTAGATAAGGAGTCTCCAACCAGTAGCTCTATCTACCACCTTGCAAGTAGTTCGCCATGGGATTTCTGAATTATGCCATTGTGCTGAATAACAAAAGAAACAATTAATTACATGCCTACGAACTTTGTAAATATATAATTTTGAAGCCCAACTTTGTACACTAATAAAAGGACAATGGTTTAAGTTTTATAAGTGTCTAACAGTACGCAAAGGCTCTCCCTCTCTCTTATAATCATCTCATTTTGCTAAAATGAGTAGCTCTCTGGCATTTTTTTTTTTTTTTTTTTTTTTTTTTGTAAAACTAGCTCATCGAAGGAAAAAGGTTGGAGGTTCTAGATAAAGTTTGTATATAAAGAATCACTACTACTATATAATGGATCTCTACTATAGTCTACATACATTTGTGAAAATGTTATGAACTAGTAAATATAATTATGACGTTGCACTATTAAAAGGAAAAATGAATTACCAGGAATGGTTAATGATAACGCTTTTCCACCTTCAAGGCACTCAAAGGTATCCAGGCTGGCGCCACCTAGTGCCTCCGCTCAATTTCATTTCTCTCCAGCGACTAGGTCAGGAATCGGAAATACACTAGACGGCTCGCAAGAACCTCAGAAATGCGAGTCCGGGCACCAGCAAATCAACAAAGAGTCATACATTCTGTGTTGGCAACGATTCCCGAGATCGAGGATTTAAAGCCGGAGCAAAGAGAATATTTGGTGAATTTTATGGAGAAAGACGTTATTGCCCTTCTTCCTACGGGATTTGTTGCATTACATACGTCACGACCAAATAGCAGAGACTAGTTAATTTTTTTAAAAAAGTACCCGTCTACCGTCGAGCGAACTATGCTGCGAGGTCTGACGGTTTCCACAAAGTGAAACCGGCTGATGAATCAGGCTAACTCAAAGGAAGCACTCACACACACTTTCATACGCCAATGTAGTCAAGGTGCTTTAAGTGTCTTGTCCAAAGAAACAACAATAGTATACATCAGGACAGGGAACTTAAAAATGTAGTGCCATAACTTCATATTCCTAACCACATGATACTGTCAATGTTGTTCTACATTTGCACTACACAATTTACAATTTTCAGTTTTACGATATTCCTACTTGTTTTACTAATACAGTCATTCTCAAGTCCCTTTAGTTTAAAATCTCCTGGTCTCTGCCTCAGTCTCCTCTGTCTAAAACATATTTCCTCCTGTTTCTCCCCGTGCACAGATCAAAGGCAGTGACGCCGGCTGGACTCTGGGTTACATGTTAAACTTGACTAACATGATCCCGGCTGAAGCTCCGGACACGCCCCTCCTCCCCCACGCTGGCTACGTGTCCGTCATCACCTTCATCGCTCTGGTCCTCTTCCTCCTCTTCATCCTCAGTCTCCGCCCCCTCTGGCCACGCTGCTCCCAAAAACCTCAGATCGTATAAAACCACTCCTGCACACTGTAAAACGAGACAAGTCCGCTTTACTTTAAAATACTGAGTTGGGTACTGGTATAATATTGTTTTATTCATTATTTACATTTATTTCAGATGAATTGATTACATAACAGAACTTTAAATCATATAAATATATTAAATGATTTTTTAAAAGTTAATTTGTGCCAGTTTTGTTTGCAACCATGTGCAAATCTGAACTTTGAATCATAACCAAATATTTCCAAAGAGTAGGCTTCGGACAATTCAAAATAATGACTCCAAAAAAAAAAAAAAAGAAAGAAAAAAAAAGTTAGGAAATAAAGCCACAGTATGTAACTTTTTAGTCAAAAATAGAAGCATGTTCGGGTTTTCTTGGTTGTTTGTTTTGTTTGGGTTTTTTGGGGGGTTTTTTTGTATTATTTTGGTCACTTTTACTGGTCAAAACATGCGTTCTTACTCTGAGCGGGCTCGCATCTCCACAAACCTGACTCTTATTTGACCTGGAGAATGGCCACCTCCTGCTTGTTTCCATGGAAATATTGTTCCTATGGCTGTAATAAACTAGTCAGGTCACTCAGTTTCATTACTCTCCAGCGACTAGGTCAGGAATCAGAATACACTAGACGAAGACACCAGACTAGACTAGAACCTCGGAAGTTGTAGACCGCGCACCGGCCAATCAGTGAAGAGCTGTGAAGCCATGACGTCAAACTCAAGCGCCTGTCTGGTCACTTTTGTGGTACAACACAACAGTAAACAAAGCGTTTGAGATGGATGTAGACGAAGACAGACATTCTGTGTTGGCAACGATTCCCGAGAAATGGTTAATGATAGTGCTTTTCCACCTTCAAGGCACTCAAAGGTAACCAGGCTGGGGCCACCTAGTGCCTCCGCTCAGTTTCATTTCTCTCCAGCGACTAGGTCAGGAATCTGAATACACTAGACGGTTTTCAAGAACCTTGGAAGTGCGAGTCCAGGCACCAGCCAATCAACAAAGAGTTATACATTCTGTGTTGGAAACAATTCCCGAGATCGAGGATTTAAAGCTGGAATAAAGAGAATGTTTGGTGAATTTTATCAAGGGGAAAGACGTTATTGCCCTTCTTCCTATGAGATTTGGGAAAAGCTTAACTCTTTCCCCCTTGGATGCCCACTTGGAACAACTCATACATATGTTAGTTTGTATGGGTTGTAGTGGCCCACACCTATCACAGCCTCTGTTTACATGCGAAAAACCGAGCCATTTGTAATGGTCGTCAAATCACGTCTTCAGTGATACAGCAGAGGTGTCAAAAGACGTCATTAAGGAAACAAGGGAGGGTCATCAAATGTAGTCTTCATGGGGGAAAGAGTTATTATACCAGTTAGTCCTGTCAGAGGCGCATTACAAACGTCACGACCAAATAGCAGCGATTGGTTAAATAAAAAAGTACCCACCTACCGTCGAGCGAACGAATAAGAGATGATTTCATTTCGTAGAAACCGGCTGATGAACCAGGCTAATAAGATACCACACTATGGCATAAAATGTATCTATCTTCATGGAAAATGTAAACAAAGTATGTTTTTTATCCTTCTATTTCCATGGAATCATGCAGTTGTCGTACCACCTTCAGAAAGTTACATACTGTATCTTTACGTTAATGCTGCTGCTGAAATCCTATAACTTTATTAAAATGTTACAACACCCTTTACTCTTTTAAAACAGATTTTTTAAAAAATCATTAGTTATTATTATTGATTTAACCCAACTTAAAACAAATAATTATAGTTTCATGATGATTTTTAAGTTGAGCTGACTTGTATGTTTTTACAGTGTCGTTCCTGCATGTGAGAGGAGTGTATGGACTTTATTATGACATTCCTCCAAGAAGTGTCAAAATAAAAGATGTTTTATTTCCAGACTCCAGAATTTCAAGGTCAAAGTTCAGTGTGCAGCTGCCAGGACCGATCCAGGGACTTTTATTTTGAAGGACTGTTTTATCCTGATTTCACTGAAGGACGTTCTATTCTGTTCTGTTCTGTTCTGTTCTGTGAGAGTGAATGAGAGAGCGACTGTAAATATTGTGCGTACCCAAACCAATGCATGTATGTGTTATGAAATATAATGTGAATAAATAAATAAATAAAGTAATCCAAGTTTATATAAAACACAGCTCTTGTCATGACTGGACTAAAACAGAAGAGAAAATATAAAAAAAATCTGTTTGAAATTGTTTATTTAAGTTTATTTACAGTCTATTTACAACTTGTTATCAACATAAAACAGTTAATTGCACTTTTAATTATGTATGATACACTTATGGACACTAGATGGCAGTGTTTACATCTGTACGTTCCCAAATCTAAACAGAAATGTACAGAATTGATGTTAACATTTTTCTACAGTGTATGTCAGTGCTACAACATTCAGACCGTTTGATCTAAAAAGTGTTCAACTTAACATAAAATTAAAAGTAGTTCAATCCTCAATTTTGTTTAAAAAAAAAAAAAAAAAGACACTTAATGAACTCAACATTTGCTTATACTTTACCGCAGCCTTGTGTTGTGTTTTGTGACACTTGATTGGGAATTTACTAGGGACGTAACAATATCCAAATCTCACGGTACGATATTTATTGCGATATTTTGTGGAGACTAAGCAGCTAAATCTGTTAATATTCTACTTTTTCCTCTTAAAATGTCTTGATGAGACTTAATCCAAAGAACTAAGACTTAAAAGTGTTAGAACTGTTATTTCTTCATGTAGTCTGCACTGAAATGGAGCAAAGGATCATGGTCTATGTAGTTCCCTCTGTCTTTTTTTAATTATTGCTGCACCATAACTCTTAATTTAAGCAAAGACACTTGAAATTCGATATATCGTGATTGTCCACGATATTATTGTGAGAATTTTGACAATACAGTATCACAATATTTTAGTTATTGTTACATCACTAGAATTTAGTATTAAAATTGCTTTGAAATTTTCATTCACACATTTTTATCGAATAAGTTTCTCATTTGGAGAGAATTGGGCAACATCTGAAACAACTGAGAAAGAAATCCTAACCAAATAAATGCAAAGAACCTGAAACAGAAGAAGGAAAAATACTATTTGCATACATTTTTGTTCTAATTCCATATTTTAACGGGTAGCAGTGAAAGTTCTGTTCTCCTTTAGGATATTATCATCATCATCGCTCTCGTCCTGACAGTTTTTATTTCAAAAACGTTGAGATGCAGATATATTTGTCAACATGTGCGTCCCCAGTGCAAAAACTCAACAACGGCCAGCGCAAGAACGGAACAGTGCCACCGTGTCGATATATGAGTATGTTATATTTGATCTGGTGCGCATTGTTTATATTTCTTCTCATTATATTGTTTATATTGAGAAGAAATGACATGTAACACGTAAATGCCTTTTTTTTTTTTTTTTACATTACAGCAGAGAAACTTTTGATTTCAGTGCGACCAGTGATGTTGGTGTCCCTTTTTACCCAGCGCATCAAAGTCTGGAGTTAGTTTTGTTGTGGCGATTCTCAGGACGCGTTCGTGTGGTGTCGGAATAATCGAAAAAATGACTTTCACAATGAGAAAATTCACACGAACGCCTCTTCATGTCAGAAAAACAACTCGGCAAGTCGGATCTTTCGACACCACGTGAATATGACCACATAATACGGCGCACCACAACAAAGGTCAATGTATCTAGAGTGCGCCATCTATTGGGAAACGCCGGAATTGCAGAAAAAATAAAACATTAACAATTTATTCAAGTTTGGCGGGCCGGATTCAAAGGTTTAAAGGGCCGCGTACAGCCCCTGGGCCATAGTTTGCCCACTCCTGATCTAGGGACTTGTTTCAAACCCATTCTTAATTGGGTCAAATACAGTAATAATAAAGTAATAACAAAAAAATTTAATTAGTTACTTACATCCTATTACACATTTTATCTTACAATAGTCCTCCATGAGCGCCAGTATTGTAAAATGTGGGCTAATGCTGCCTCCTAGGGGTCTAAAAACACTGTTACAAGCTGCTCAGAAGGACTCCACAATAAAGTTTCAAGTGATTTCCTCATCATGTGTTAGAATTTTCCATTATGTACAGTACATGTAACACAAGCTGATGTCATAAGCCCATACAGTAAGTCTTGCATTGCAGCTGGTCATGTGATTTCCCTATTCAAATCTCACTGGCGATTACGTAAAGCTGTAAAAGTGAACTGTCAACTCTCCTGTCTGTCACTTACGGTACCAGGAAGTGTGGCCGCCCAGCCTTTCCTAAAAATCCAACTTATCTGTGGGGAAAAGAAAGCGCAAAAACAATCTTTATCTTGATTGTAAATGTGTTTCTGTGGTTTAGACTCTGCCCATTTTTGTTAGGGTTGGCACAAATGTACACGTTACCTCATTTAGGAGGAGTGGGTGATTCTATATGAGTCATTTCTACAGTAAAAAACGAAAAATATATCAACGTTAAAGATCCTAAATTACGCAAAATTGACTCTTGTGAGCTTTAAGTCGTGTTATAATGTTGTTATCGCCTCAAAAACAGACCTGGAGTTGTGTTTTGTTTCATTCAAAATGCTCTGTGCCAACTTGTAATGTCATGAAGCGGTAGTTTTCAAGTTAATGGCTACCTTTTACTTTTTGTTCAGCAGAGGTCGGAAATTATCCGAATAATTCTAGTAAAGGTGGACCACTTTCTGTATTACCGCTTGACATCACAAAATAGCAGACAGTGTTTTCCTTTTGACGTAAAAAATCTGCGTAAATATGCCTCATTCACCTGGAAAAATAGATCTGTATACGTCTCTATACAACATGAAATAAACATTAATCAACACATTGTTTTAAAGCATAATTAACTTAAAAGTAACAGATAAATCCATGTATCAAGGGCGACCAAGTTCACCAGTAATGTTACAGTAACGTTTTAGAGCGATCAGTGACACCAACTTAGGTCATTTGTTGGGACGTCCTTCACCCACTTCAACAAAAATGACTGAATAAATTAAAAACTTCCATCTGATCAGACACTGTGTGAATGAAAACTGTTACATAGACACACTACCGGTCAAAAGTTTTAGAACACCCTCATTTTTTCGGTTATTTATTCCAATTCAAGTCGTGAAAGTCCAATGAAGAGCTTGAAATGGTACAAAATGTAAAAACTGAACAGTCAGATTTAAAAAAAAAAAAAAAAAAAGATAAAAGATACAAAAGACAAGTTCAAGCTCTGCCAAAACTACCTCAGGAAAAAAGAACAAGATGATTTCTGTTGTAAAAAGAACGAGCAAACAGTAAACGGTAAAAACCTAGAAAAAAGTGTGGTGTTGTAAAACTTTTGACAGGTAGTGTATCTAGAAGGCCATATTTTAAAGGTGCACTATGTAATTTTCTAGTGGAGGGTCTGCTGCCTGCTTGTCTCCATGGAGATGTTATTGCTTTGTATGCATCTACTTTATTTTACATTTTGTTCATCGCAGGCATTTTATTGCTCAAAAATATCTTTAAAAAACATGCGTTCGTACTGTCAGCAGAGTCATCTCTCCACACATCTGACCTGTAACTCGGTCTCCATGGAGATGTTATTGTTTTGCCAAAAAAATATTCCACAGTATGGCATCAAATGTAGCATGTAGTTTTGTTTTTTCTTGTTTTTTTTTTTCATTTTAAGTGTTTTAATTGCTCAAAAATACCTTGAAAAAAACACGCACTCCTATTATTATCAGCAGCAATCCGTGTATCGTTCGTTCATTCATTTTTCAAAATAAAACCAAAAATAAGAAAAAAACAACAACTATTTTCTTCATTATTTGTCTCCAAACCCAAAATGAAAAAACGGATAATGATTTGTTTTTTCAGTTTTTGATTTTGTGCTTAAATGAAAAATGGAAAAAAATGGATAATGGCGTTTTTGTGACTTAAACTGAAGAGATGCTGGACTGAACTAGGACTGAACCAGGATTGAACCAGGTCCGGGACCAGACCGGAAGCAGACCGGGACTGAGACCGGGACTGAGACCAGGGCTGAGACCAGGACTGAGACCGGGACTGAGACCGGGGCTGAGACTGGGACCAGACCAGGACTTAAACTTAGTCCTGACTGGTTCAGTCCTGGTTCAGTCCTGGTTTAGTCCTGTTTTAGTCCTGTTTTACTGTTTTAGTCCTAGTCCTGGTTCAGTCCTGGTTCAGTCCTGTTTTAGTCTGTTTAGTCCTGGTTCAGTCCTGGTTCAGTCCTGTTTTAGTCCTGTTTTACTGGTTCAGTCTGGTTCAGTCCTGGTTTAGTCCTGTTTTCAGTCCTGTTTTAGTCCTGTTTTAGTCCTGTTTAGTCTAGTTTTCAGTCTTTTTAGTCCTGTTTAGTCTGTTTTAGTCCAGTCCTGGTTCAGTCCTGTTTTAGTCCTGTTCAGTCCTGGTTCAGTCCTGGTTCAGTCCTGGTTCAGTCCTGTTTTAGTCCTGTTTTAGTCTGGTCCTGTTTTAGTCCTGGTTCAGTCCAGTCCTGGTTCAGTCCTTGTTTTAGTCCTGTTTTCAGTCCTGTTTTAGTCCTGGTTTCCTGTTTTAGTCCTGTTTTAGTCCTGGTTCAGTCCTGTTTTGTTTTAGTCCTGTTTTAGTCTGGTCCTGTTTTAGTCCTGGTTCAGTCCTGTTTTAGTCCTGGTTCAGTCTGTATGCTGCGAAAAATTTGGCATCACAGTTTAAGTCACAGAAACAGGAAAAATCCGTTATCCGTTTTTTCCATTATTCATTAAAACATTCATTTTGGTTTTGGAGACAAATAATGAAGAAAATAGTCTTTTTATTTTTTCATTTTCTTATTTTTGGTTTTATTTTGAAAAACAAATGAACGAATGATACACGGAGTAGCGGCGTCGCCTTTTCACTGATCTGACCTGTAACTTGGCCTGGTGAGTTTATCTGTTTGTCTCCATGGAGTTAGACCAATTTAAAGCCACACTGGGGATCATTCCAGAGAAAGCAAAAACATCCGCATACACAAAAAGTTCCACAGTTCATCTTTAAATATGTCTAAACGGTTTGTTAGTCAGGCAATGCAAAAGTGCCCCATGCGTTTCCATTATAAATAATCTTAGAAGACGTATTTACAAGACAAACTCTGAAATCCTGTCATCTGAGTTTCCCGTTCATCCCGTTCGCTGAGGTATATCCCGAGTCTTTCTTCATGGACGCCGCCTGCTCGGAGACAGAGGGGATTGTGGGTAGTGGGTCGGCGGTGTACTGGGGCGTCTCACTCAGCTGGTCCCGGTCGATGATGTTGGTGGTCTCCGGGTCCAGTTCGTGAATCTTCTCGCGGTAAAATCTTTGTCTTAACCTCCTCATCTGCGGCAGCTCGCAGCACGTCTCCAGCATCACCAGAACACAGATCAGACCCACCAACAGGTACACTGCAACAGGAAAGACAGGATTTATTGATTTATTTGTTGTCATGGAGATGAAAAACTGTGTTGCATCTTTACACTTTGTTAAATAATAGTTCTTCAACAGGTGTTTTCAAATTGGAGCAGGTACACGCGCACACTGACCTTTGAAGTAAATGCATCTTTTGTGTTTCTGCAATTAATGAGTTTCAATAACAACTGATAATATATTTTTTTAACATTGTATTTTAATATTTTTATGTGTATTCATAAAGGATTTTTAAAACAGCAAATAATTTCCGACTTCATGCAGGCCTAACTGAGGCGACTATTAACATCACTGAACATCAGTAGGACACGAGGACTAACCCAGGACTAAACCAGGACTAACCCAGGACTAAACCAGGTCTAAACCAGGTCTAAACCAGGTCTAAACCAGGACTAACCCAGGACTAACCCAGGACTAAACCAGGACTAAACCAGGACTAACCCAGGACTAAACCAGGACTAACCCAGGACTAAACCAGGTCTAAACCAGGTCTAAACCAGGACTAACCCAGGACTAACCCAGGACTAAACCAGGACTAAACCAGGACTAAACCAGGACTAAACCAGGACTAAACCAGGTCTAAACCAGGACTAAACCAGGTCTAAACCAGGACTAACCCAGGACTAACCCAGGACTAAACCAGGACTAAACCAGGACTAAAACCAGGACTAAACCAGGACTAAACCAAGACTAACCAGGACTAACCCAGGACTAACCCAGGACTAAACCAGGTCTAAACCAGGACTAAACCAGGACTAAACCACATCTAAACCAAGACTAAACCAGGACTAAACCAGGATTAAACCAAGACTAAACCAGGACTAAACCAGGTCTAAACCAGGACTAAACCAGGTCTGAACCACATCTAAACCAAGACTAAACCAGGACTAAACCAGGTCTAAACCAGGACTAAACCAGGACTAAACCAAAGACTAAACCAGGACTAAACCAGGTCTGAACCAGGACTAAACCAGGACTAAACCAAGACTAAACCAGGACTAAACCAGGTCTGAACCAGGACTAAACCAGGACTAAACCAAGACTAAACCAGGACTAAACCAGGACTAAACCAGGACTAAACCAAGACTAAACCAAGGACTAAACCAGGTCTGAACCAGGTCTAAACCAGGACTAAACCAGGACTAAACCAGGACTAAAACCAGGACTAAACCAGGACTAAAACCAGGACTAAACCAGGAACCAGGTCTAAACCAGGACTAAACCAGGACTAAACCAGGACTAAACCAGGTCTAAACCAGGACTAAACCAGGTCTAAACCACATCTAAACCAAGACTAAACCAGGATTAAACCAGGACTAAACCAGGTCTAAACCAGGACTAAACCAGGTCTAAACCACATCTAAACCAAGACTAAACCAGGATTAAACCAGGTCTAAACCAGGACTAAACCAGGACTAAACCAGGTCTAAACCAGGACTAAACCAGGTCTGAACCAGGACTAAACCAGGTCTAAACCAAGACTAAACCAGGATTAAACCAGGTCTAAACCAGGACTAAACCAGGACAAAACCAGGTCTAAACCAGGACTAAACCAGGTCTGAACCAGGACTAAACCACATCTAAACCAAGACTAAACCAGGATTAAACCAGGTCTAAACCAGGACTAAACCAGGACTAAACCAGGACTAAACCAGGTCTAAACCAGGACTAAACCAGGTCTAAACCAGGTCTAAACCAGGTCTAAACCAGGACTAAACCAGGTCTAAACCACATCTAAACCAAGACTAAACCAGGATTAAACCAGGTCTAAACCAGGACTAAACCAGGACTAAACCAGGTCTAAACCAGGACTAAACCAGGTCTAAACCAGGTCTAAACCAAGACTAAACCAGGATTAAACCAGGTCTAAACCAGGACTAAACCAGGACTAAACCAGGTCTAAACCAGGACTAAACCAGGTCTAAACCAGGACTAAACCAGGATTAAACCAGGTCTAAACCAGGACTAAACCAGGACTAAACCAGGTCTGAACCACATCTAAACCAAGATTAAACCAGGATTAAACCAGGTCTAAACCAGGACTAAACCAGGATAATCTTGGACTTGAGAGAGACAGAACCCCGACCCCCTGAAGTAGAGTGTCCGCAAAGCGTGATCGGGCGATGGCCGCGCTTTGCCCCGTGCGGCGCCGAGCTCTTCCTCCGTCCTTTCGCCAGCGGTCACCCGATGGTTTACGCAGGCACACCTCTGGGCCCGACCTGACACTCATTCCTGGTTCAGTTCTGGTTTAGTCCTGGGATCAGTCTTGGTTTCCTGTTATGATGTTATTTCCTCATCAAAAACAGACCTTGAGTTGTGTTTTGTTTCAGTCACACATGTTTAAACACACAAACCAGGGATACTTAGGTTCTCCTCTTGAACAGAAAACACTCTGTTCCACCTTGTGATGTCATGTGGCAATACTCTATACACCTTCTCTAGAATCATTTGGATAATTTCAGCCCTGCAATTGCCAATCTCTAACTGAACTAAAAATAAAAGGTAGGTGTTAACTTGAAAACTACTCCTTCATGACATCACAAGGTGGCACAGACGTAGACAGACTAATAATAAAAGATTACTCAAATGTGATGATAAAAATAACATACTCTGCTTTTACTCAGATTTACAAGGACATGCAAACACTAAACAATTGATAAAATAACTCAAGTAATTAGAAAACCAACCAACACTGCTGTCAAATGATTGAACAAGGAACCGGACTAAGCTATAATAAATAAAGAATGATTAATCAATGGAGTAACTTAAGTCAACAATGGCCAGTGGGTGTGACGGTCTTATAACTCTATGAACCTGCACCACACCAATGAATAATATTATAAGAGCCAAGGGAGGAAAAACAAGTACAAGTACATGTCTTTTTGTGGAAATTACAGCACGTGGATTACTGACTATCGTGATCTAAATGAAAAGATAAAATACAAAAAGCTTAAAGGTCTCATATTACTTTGAATATGAGACTCTTGTGAGCTTTGAGTCATGTTATAATATTGTTACATCATCATAAACATACCAGGGTGTGTGTTTTGTTTGATTACACATTAGAGTAATCCTTTATTATTTCTCAAAATGCTCTGATTCAACTTATGATGTCATGAAGCGGTAGTTTTCAAGTTAACAGCTACATTTAAAGGGACAGTCTAAAATTTTTGGACACAGGATCTCATTTTCTAGTGAGTCAGAGTGTTGGAGACGTGTGGAGACACTTTTTTAAATATTCCGTCCAGTCCTTGTATTTGCAGAGGTCACTGGTGCTAGACTAGTGTCAATGGTCATAGTTATCCTGCCACTAAAAACTGTTTTACCCACTCCACAAAACACCCAAAGAAAATCTATTATTACACCAGACTGTCCATGTAAATGTCTGTGTCGATAGAATAATTGTAGAAGTAAAACCAACCTTGCTAGATTCTCACTGCTGGAGACAGTGTGGACACTCAAACGTTAATCACTCTCATATTTTTTGGACATGTACAAAATTAAAATCATTCTGGGACAATGTGTTTGAAAAAACGGATACGATCTTGACTTATGTTGTCCCCAAAGACCCAAAGATATTTTCGTTAGGCCTTCTGCCTGGAGAGGTGATCGAAAAAGTGGACACTTTTTTTAAATTCTGACTTTGGCATCAAAAAAAGCAATAACAAGAAGTTGGCTTAAAAAGGACACGCCGTCAGTGAACCAGTGGCTAGACATTATAGAAGAAATATATTCTATGGAACGACTGACTTTTTTTCTACATCTCAAAGGACATTTTTTCATTAAACACTGGACAAAATGGTTGAAATATAAACAAAAAGGGATTTAACTTCTATATCCTTATAACATTGGAACGGTGCCCCAGGTTTTGTATTTACTCGTTTGTTTCTCTAAACTTGAAAAACTGAACAAATAAAAAGTAAAAAAAAAAAAACAACAACCTTGCATTTGAAGGATTTATGTCTGAGCAGCAGCAGTGAGTTGTACTTCCTGATAGAAAGCCGCAGGATTGATATCACCTAGCACTAAGGATGTAACAATAACCGAAATATCGTGATATTGTATCGTCAAAAGCCTCACAATAATATCGTGGCCTCTCACAAATTACAAGTTCCTTTGCTTAAATGCATTGTTCTTAGTAGGAACAGCTAATAAACATCGAGAACTACATATCCCATGATTCATTTCAGCGCAGACAACATGAAGAAATGTGTTTTTTACTTGAATTCTCGGGATTATGACAATAACACTTCACACCAAAATCATGTCAGGGTATTTTAAAAGCAAAAAAGTGTCCTATCTACAATTATCAAAAGAAACAGAAAACGCACACCAAAATTCTTATAGAGGTGCAAATGCAAGGAGCAGCCAGACCAGGGTGAAAAAATGCATAGCACACTCGGTTGGCCGATGTCCAAAAGTCTTTTATTAACAAAATAACATTTCGGCAAAAAAAGCCTTCATCAGATATTTTCCCTGTCTTGGACCACAGCACACCAGCTTTTTTTGCCGAAACGTTATTTTGTTAATAAAAAAGCTTTTGGACATGGGCCAACCGAGTGTGCTATGCATTTTTTCACCCTGGTTCTACCTACAATTACATCAGCCGCTCCAAAATATCGTACCGTGAGATGCATATCGTGATAATATCGTACCGAGAGATTTGGATATCGTTACATCCCTACCTAGCACCTATCTTACCGGCAAAGCTGCTGCTGAGAAAATAGTTCCTCAACATGCGACGATTCATGCGACGCAAGGTTAGTTTTATTTCAAATCTTCTTTCTATCGGCACAGACATTTACATGGACAGTCTGGTGTAACCATAGAATTGCTTCGGGTTTTTTGTGGCGTGGGTAAGACTGTTTTTAGCTCCAGCTCAGGGGGCCTAAGACGAGACTTAAAACCAGAGGGGACAGGGCTTTCTCTGTGGTCGGCCCTAAACTCTGGAACGATCTGCCGCTTCACGTTCGAGCAGCTCCCACAGTGGAGAGTTTTAAATCTCGTCTGAAGACCCACTTTTATTCTCTGGCTTTTAACACCGCGTGAGTTGTGTGGTCCTCTGTGTCTTTTATTTATTTTTATGTGTTTTTATTGGTTTTAATTTATTTATTGGTTTATTTATTTCTATTCTATGATATAGTTTCATTTTTATTTTACTGGTTTTATATTATTTTACTAGATTTATTACTTTAAGACTAGTATTATTTTAGTAATTTACTTTATCATCTTATTGTTGTTATTTTTTGTGTATTTGTGCAGCACTTTGGAAACAGTTTGTTTATGAAATGTGCTATATAAATAAAGTGGATTGGATTGGATTTTAGTGGCAGGATAACTATGACCACTGACATGCACTAGTCTAGCACCAGCGACCTCTGCAAATACAAGGACTGGATGGAATATTTAAAAAAGTGTCTCCACATGTCTCCAACACTCTGGCTCACTAGGAAATGAGGTCCTATGTCCAAAATTCTGGACTGTCCCTTTAAACTTTTGTTCAGTATAGATTGGAAATTCCAAGGCAGAAATAACCTAAATGATTCTAGTGGAGGCGTGCGGAGTTTAAAAGCACAGTGGAGCACTTCTTATGTATGCAGGGTTTGTACGTTAATGTTAATGTAACATGTGAATGAAACAAAACACAAGTCCAGGTATATTTTTTGACGAGGAAGCAAAATTTTAACATAGACCCTTCAAGCATTTTTAACTTGTACTACAGTATAAGTCACATTTTACAATAACAACTAGTGTTTATAATAACATTTTTGGACATTTCCTCTATTTAAAATTGTACAGTAAGTTCTTTTTTTACCCTCTGAGTGAATCTGTTTTAGGTCATGACCCAGTAGCTGTAAATCAGTGCTTTTGTTAATGTAAGGGAAGTGGGATCAGTTACATAAGTGAAAGTAACTCTATATCGTGAAGTACAACTCGCTTCTGTAAAAATGAACTGTAAACAGAGGAACAGATACAGGTGTGAGGTGTGGCTTCACGGGATTTCACGGGATTGTGTGTCTTTGTTAAACATCGTATAAGCTCTTGTACGGCATTGCTCTGTACATATTTGTTTTGACTACAAATACAGATCACACATGGATTCTTTCTCATGTGGGGGATTGGGTGGAAAATACTAAATGTACACAAAATACCCGAGATCCTGTGATATGGAACCAAATAAAGTATTAACTAATGACGTAGTTGCAAAAATTCTTAAAATGGTCTTGTTGCTAGTATTTCTTTCCCGAATGTTTGTACTACACTGTAAAACCTGACAAGTTCAAAAAAATCAATTAAACTTATTACGTAAAAAATTCTGGTTTTGAGTTAGTCTTCAGTACAAAATGTTTAACTGTTTACTACCTTTTTTTTTTTTTTTTTTTAATTAGTACTGACTCAGTTTTTGGTAAATGTACTCTAATACAGTGGTCTGCAAACTTTTTGGCGCCACAGACCAGTTGTATGTTTGACAATATTTCACAGACCAGGGGCTGTGGCAGCGCCTGGTTTAGTCCTGGTTTAGTCCTGGTTTAGTCCTGGTTTAGTCCTGGTTTAGACCTGGTTAAGACCTGGTTAAGTCCTGGTTTAGACCTGGTTTAGACCTGGTTTAGACCTGGTTTAGTCCTGGTTTAGACCTGGTTTAGAGTCCTGGTTTAGACCTGGTTTAGTCCTGGTTTAGACCTGGTTTAGACCTGGTTTAGTCCTGGTTTAGACCTGGTTTAGACCTGGTTTTAGTCCTGGTTTAGTCCTGGTTTAGACCTGGTTTAGACCTGGTTTAGACCTGGTTTAGACCTGGTTAGACCTGGTTTAGACCTGGTTTAGACCTGGTTTAGACCTGGTTTAGACCCTGGTTTAGACCTGGTTTAGTCCTGGTTTAGTCCTGGTTTAGTCCTGGTTTAGACCTGGTTTAGACCTGGTTTAGACCTGGTTTAGTCCTGGGTTTAGACCTGGTTTAGACCTGGTTTAGACCTGGTTTAGTCCTAGTTTAGACCTGGTTTAGACCTGGTTTAGACCTAGTTTAGACCTAGTTTAGTCCTGGTTTAGACCTGGTTTAGACCTGGTTTAGTTTAGACCTGGTTTAGACCTGGTTTAGACCTGGTTTAGTCCTGGTTTAGTCCTGGTTTAGTCCTGGTTTAGATAAAGATAAAGGTAGCATATTCACAATTTTGTAAGCCTCCGCAAAATATCGCAATAAATATCGAAATGTGAGATGCGTATTTCGAAAATATCGTATCGAGACACACACATTTTAATCATCAAAACAGTGAAAACATCAAATGTGTCGCATAAAATGAATTTCCTTCTTTTAATCAAGCAACAAAACTATAGCTCTGCAACAAAATAATTTAGTGAAATGTACCAAAAAATTACTCTTGGCGATATGTCGATACAGCAACCCACGTTATTGATACTGTATCATCGCATTAAACTATACGATATATTGATATTTTGATATTTTTGCACACCATGACAAACTACATACTCCTACTGTCCTGTTTGTATGAATCATGGAAAACCAACTGCCTGACACAATCCCAGACACTTGATTCTCTGTCATGATGTATTTTTAACAAACTGGAAGGAAAATATTGGACAACTATAAGAAAACAACAGCATGACACCACCCCAGACAGTAGTTTCTGCAGAATAGTGCATTATCACAGTGGTAGAAAAGACTAAGGCTGTGTTCAGACTGGAGCCTGAAGTGACCCAAATCCGATTTTTTGGCTTCTATGTGACCTGTATCTGATCTTTTAATGACAGTCTGAACGACACAGATCCGATTTTTTTCAAATGTGACCCAGGACACTTGGATATGTGCTCCTGAAACCGATACATATCTGATCTTTTGACATGTGACTTCAGTCTGAACGGCCAAGGCGCATTCATTCGACCTACACGTTATCAACAAGACACAAACGTCACTATTCTGCGCTGAAGTAGGCGAAAATTGTTAACAAACTCCGTGTCACTGAAGTGAAGCACATCACCACTCACCACTCTTGGCTACGTCTCCACATCCACACGTTCCTTTTAACAGACGTCGCTGCCGCTGCCCCACAAAACACCACGGCCAAAAACCTCGTCCTTCTCCTTCTCAATCTCCTCCTTAAAACAAGTAAGTTGTTCATGTTCTGGCTCCGGTACGAGAGGAACTTTAAAATCACCAGGTGCTTAATGCTCGTGTCCATGTTTAGACAACTTCCGTAAACACAGATCACGCTCACTGCGGTTGACGTCATCGTGTCTCCAGTGTGCACATGTGGGACACTTTTGGGCCGTTTACTGTTCACACAGTGGATCGAATACAAGTCGCATTTAATTGGAAATGTGAACGACCTCGCAAAAACATCGGATTTCACAAAAAAATCGGAATTTGAGCGTTAAGCCCTGCAGTCTGAACGTAGCCTAAGTGGACGGGGCTAAAACATGTTCCTGACTCTTACTTTAAAATCAGGTATCCATGAGTGTCTGAATGATGAAAAATTGTCGAATTAAAACAAAATATGTCTTTTGAATGGAAAAAAGTCCTTAAAATGTTGTCTATAGAGAAACTGCATGTGACTGCATGTTCCAGCGAGCCAGACCGCCAATAGATTACCGTTGTAAAGTTAGCAGATTTTCATGTTGTTCCTGTAATTTTCACATTACGACACATGCCGGTAAAGTGTTGCGCACAGAGCTGTAATCAGCAGGGAGATAAAGACACAGGGGTTCAGTTGTATCGGATCCCGGGTGAAGCGGACAGACGAGACAAGTGGATAGCTGCTATAAATCGGAGAATTTATGACCCGACCACAGACGAGCCGGCTAAAGGAGGTCAATTGTTGCAGCTGTTAAGACACTGCAGGTTTTGTAGCAAGCACTTTGTCGGAGGTCAGTCATCATCAATTACAACTGAACTCGAATTCTCAACCTGAGAATGTACCCAACAAACTGGAATGCAAAATGTTGAACAAGTTTAATTTGGCCTCGTACTTTAAAGGCCCATCTCATGCAAAATAACTCTTTTCACACTGTATCTTCTGCACATAAACAAGCACAATTTGGGTTTTGGAACATCCATTACACAATATTTATGAAATCTTTGTAATGTAATGTAATCTATGAACTATGAAAGGCCGACTATCGCTCATCCCTCCGCCCGTCCCTCCAAACGTGACGTAGGCTCTGAGTGAGTCACCCTTCCTCCGCCCATCTCAGGGAGGGAGGGGGAGACAGGTGTGCACCCTGATAGTGGTAGAATAAACTTTTATTCATCATGGCGATACAGCGCGTTCAGCCGCATGTGTTGGACCTGGAATCAGCTGAACATTACTGATTGGTAAAGTATTAATAAACACTAGTAGATAAAGTTATTATATCGTGTTCACTGCAGTGTAGAACAATGAGCTTTTGCTGTCGCTTTTGTTTAGGTGTTCATGTGGGAATTGTCAGCCGATGCGGGGTGGAAGCGGGGAGGAGGCGGTGGAGCGGGTACGAAGCGCTTTCTGCTACTTCAAAGGCGTCATAGGTGTATCTGCCGTGTCCTCGTTGTAGCAGCTTTAGTTCGTTGTCACGTGGGAGAGTGGCAGAAATACGCTGCAATTTGTTAAAAAAAAAACGTCGAATCAATCTAAAAAACACTTCGGGGACATATACAAGGCCCACACATCACTCTTAGAAGGTAGAAAGCTCTGAAATGTTGATTTTGCATGTGATGGACCCTTTTATTTATTGCTTGCATGCAAGTGAGAAGTGCGGTCCGTGTGTTGAAATTACTAGAATGCTGCCTACCATCATCGGGACCGTCAATATGGCGGCCAAAACAAAAACGGTCACATGGCTGCAGGTTCTTTATATAACAGCAAGATGAGACCTGTGAATAGGCCCTTTAACACCACATGGCTCCTCAACTCTACCCCCATATATAATAACACTATTGTAATATATTCCCAGGTACTAAGACCCAAGTATTCCCACGAGGACTCACCTGTGATTCCCAGTCTGTAGAGAGTCGGGTGCGAGCGTCCTTCTTTACTATGCGTGGACCCTGGGACATAATCTCCCAAGCCGATGGTCGTCAAGGAGATGAAACAAAAATACAACGATTCCAGGAAGTTCCAGTCTTCTTCCATTGTGACAAAAATCCAAGAAGGGATGAGCAGGAAGAGTATTGTGAGGATGATCGCCATGCAGGTCGCGTGGAGGAAAGCGAAGAGGGACTTCGACATCGCCCAGCGTCTGTGGAAGTAGGAGATGGGTCGCCGGGTAACGACGAGCATGATCCTCTGCACCACCGCGGACAGGAAAAGCAGGGTGACCGGGATCCCGAAAAGAGAGTAGAAGATGCAGAAGGCTTTCCCCTCGTCGGAAAGAGGCACCGTGTGGCCATAACCTGCAATTACACACACCACAAATTACAGTTTAAGTACAGGGATGGGGTATTATTACACATGAGGTTTCCAGGGAGACAGTGGACTTAAATAGAAAGATATAATGAAATGTTCTTTTAAAATCTGCTGTACTTAGCTGGAAGGTCCAAACATTTAGGAAGCCATAGTTGACGCTTTGTGCACCTTGTTTCAACTTTTAAAATGCCTCAAAAAGAAAAGAATCCACAGAGAGCGATCCAAGTGCAGTTAGAAACTCTTTACTGAGTATTCACAAAAACAAAACATACAAAAAGGGGAACTTTTTGAAATACAGGTTTCAGGAGGTCAAAAAACTGTTTGGCTCTCGCCTTAAAAAAGGAGCCATACACCACAAAATAATACAAAAAATAAACATTACTTAGGTAAACTTATGATTAACATTAATAAGAATTAATTGGAAGAAAAATTATAAATAGATCAAATAATTTTTTAGCAAATAAGCAACAAATAATCATAAAGAATTACCAAAATTACCCCAAATCAAGCATTTTGAGTAAATATCAAATCAAACTAAATAAGAATAATTATCTCAGTAATTAAAAATGTACAAAACCGGGTTTAGGCTCCCACATCAGCGTTTTAAAGGTGCATTGTGTAACTTTTTGGGTGTACATGAGGTTACTAAAGAGAGAGTTAACTTAAATAGAAAGATATAATGACATTTCTTTTTTAAAATATGCTGTATTTAGTGTTTTAAAGGTGCACTGTGTAACTTTTTGGGTGTACATGAAGTTACCAAGGAGACAGTGCACTTGAATAGAAAGATATAATACAATTTATTTTTAAAATATGCTGTATTTACTGTTTTAAAGGTGCATTGTGTAACTTTTTTGGGTGTACATGAGGTTACTAAGGAGAGAGTGAACTTAAAAGAAAGATATAATGACATTTCTTTTTAAAATATGCTGTATTTAGTGTTTTAAAGGTGCACTGTGTAACTTTTTGGGTGTACATGAAGTTTCCAGGGAGATAGTGTGCTTAAAAAGAAAGATGTAATGAAATTTCTTTTTAAAATATGCTGCACTTAAGAGTTTTAAAGGTGCATTGTGTAACTTTTCTAGTGGTTTGTGTGCTTGTCTGTGTAAAGATTACATTCCTTTACCTGGAAAGTTTCACAATATGGCATTAAACTGAAATGCAGATGGCAGCACTTTAGGCAAAGTTACATGTCAGATCTGTGTAGAGGCGACCCCACTTAGAGTAAAAATGCATGTTTTACTCTATGTATTTTTGAAGAATCACAAAAATAAACACCGGTAATTCAAGATACATAACTTCAAAGCAATACTGTGGAACATTTCAAGCACCACATCCCCATGGAGACAAGCAGTTGGTGGACCTTGCATCAAAAAGTTACACAGTGCACCTTTAAATGTAATACAGAAACAGAAAGTTAACGAAAAAACATGGATAGTTACTGTAATTTATTAAGTCACAGCATAAATAAATGTAAGAAATATGTTCCAATATTGTTGCTTTTTGATATTTTGGAGTAAAAAACTGTATTATTCTAACAAAAAATCAATTGAAGTTGTAATTATCTCCTACACGTCTACTATTACAGACTGCAAACTCAAACCTAACCCTACATTTGTGTAAAGTACAGAGCCACTGAGCGCTGTTAAACAATAAAACAGATCATGCAAACAAGATTAACTTTCATGGAAGTACTTTGTCACTGTCTGAATTTTAATACTTTTCAGGAACTTTGAAAATAACTTTTTTTAAGAAGTTTTTGAACTTTTAGTGAACTGCTGCGAGACAGAAACATAGAAGCAAGAAGGACTTCCAAACCTGACCGTGTAATGTAATAAACTTTAAGTGTCATGGGGGACAGTAGACATGGGCATTAGAGGACGCTTCACAGGATAAACGCTAAATTAGGTTAAAAAATCAGGGTCACTGCTCATCACACAGTCCATATATTTATTCAATTACAGGTGGCTTTATAGCTCAAAAATTTGCATACAAACATTAAACCAGGACTGAACAAGTCCAAACAAGGACAATAGACCAGCAGGTATTAAATCAAGACTAAACCAGGACTAAACCAGGACTAAATATACCAAAATACTTCTTTGTTTCTTTGGATATGTCATTGCTCTGCTTGGAAAATTTGAACAAAAAAAGGTATTCTGACAATAGACTACCGGGTATTAAACCAGGACTAAACCAGGTCTAAACCAGGACTAAACCAGGACTAAACCAGGTATTAAACCAGGACTAAACCAGGTCTAAACCAGGACTAAACCAGGTAAACCAGGACTAAACCAGGACTAAACCAGGACTAAACCAGGTCTAAACCAGGACTAAACCACGACTAAACCAGGATTAACCAGGACTAAACCAGGACTAAACCAGGTCTAAACCAGGTCTAAACCAGGTCTAAACCAGGTCTAAACCAGGACTAAACCAGGACTAAACCAGGTCAGGTAAACCAGGTATAAACCAGGACTAAACCAGGTCTAAACCAGGTATTAAACCAGGACTAAACCAGGTCTAAACCAGGACTAAACCAGGACTAAACCAGGTCTAAACCAGGTCTAAACCAGGACTAAACCAGGACTAAACCAGGTCTAAACAAGGACTAAATATACCAAAATACTTCTTTGTTTCTATGGATATGTCAGTGCTCCGCTTCGAAAATTTGTACAAAAACAGACATTCTGACTGTGAGCAGGGATGCCTCTCCACAGATCTGACCTGTAACTTGATCTGGTTCGGTCTCCATGAAGATAGAAAGGTTTAAATCCATAACATCTCCATAGAGAAAAGTTACAGAATGCACCTTTAAACTAGGACAAAACAAAGACAGAACAAAGTGGTCTAACTCGTGACATTAACCTGACAATTAACCAAGAAATGAGTCCGAAGACTTAATATTTAACCAGGACTAGACGAGGGCTAAACCAGATGGCAAATCCCGCTCTCTCCATAAACATTATTTTGTTGTTGTGTCCTTGGGCAAGACACTTAACCCACCACACCCCCACTGTCTGCGCACACTGGTGTATGAATGTGTGTGTGAATGGGTGAGTAGTTTCTTGACGTAAGGTGCTTTGAGTGCTTTGAAGATGGAAAAGTGCTGTATAAAAGAGCAATAATTTTTTTGCTGATCCAAAACAATTCATTTGTATTTTATATGATGACATTTTACTGCAGGCTGTACTTGAACTTAAAACATTTCTTTCTCATTAATGCCTGTTCTCTTCATCATTCAGCAGCAAAAAAGACATTTGTTGAAATAAATTTGAGATGAAAGTACCACGGAAAAACCCTCAAACGTAAAAGTATCAACGCAATAGTCTCCAAAACCCTCTCCAAAAGGTGCAGTCTAGTAAAGTTTATAAATCAACTTCATTTATTGTCTAGAGAAGTAAAAATTTCACGGCATAGAAGGGATGTAAAGATATCCAAATCTCACGGTACGATATTTATTGCGATAATTTGAAAGAAGCTGATATAATTGTAGATATGATACGATTTTTGCTTTTAAAATACCTTGACTTTTTTGATTTTAGAGTGAATTATTTCCATCATAATCCAAAAAAAAAAATCAAGTAAAAAAAACGTATTTCTTCATGTTGTCTGCGCTGAAATGAATCATGGGATATGTAGTTTCCGATGTTTATAAGCTGTTGCTACTGTAAAAAGATGCATTTAAAGGTTGTATAGAGGATTTTCCAAGGAACGAGAAATCCAGCGACTGTTTTGTCCTTTTTCAAATGTTGCGCATGCGTGAAACCACCCCCCCTCCCCTACAGCTCCTACGTAGAAACACCTCCTCCCGTCTCCTCCTTACACCAGAAACAGGTTTGTAAACAACTAACTACAGTGTTGGTTAGGCAAGGCGGAGAAGTGAGGAGCGCGGGGAGCGGGTGTGCGGACATTTCGTTCGCGGACGAGAAGTGAGGAGCAGGGAGAAGAGCGGAGCAGGGAGCAGGAGAGAGGAGAGAGGAGAGGAGAGAGGAGGGGGAGCGGTACACGGAGATTCCGTGCCCGGAGAAGTGAGGAGCAGGGGGAAGAGCGGATCGGGCAGCGGGGACAGGAGCAGGAAAGGGGTGCAGAGAAGGTTGCGCGGAGATTCCGTGCGAATGAACTGCTACAACACGCCAGCAGCAAGCGGACTCTTTCTTTGCCTTGAAAATTACGTTTTCGTGTCCTGAAAAACGTTTGTCTAGCTCTTGGAAATAAAGTACGTTTTCATAATAAGCAGAAGTGACCTGTCCAGGAGTAATTTGGCGACCAGTGTGTCAGTCTTTAGACCCTGCGTCTGCTTCAGTGCGCCATCGCTGGAATGAATCTTCAAGAATCACCTTAGTTTGGCTTTGCTGCTTTTCCCCTTGTCTTCTTCTTTCAGCGACCTCAAAAACGGACTTTCTTTTGCGGCAAACTGCTCCTGGATTCTTGTCGCCATTGCAACAAACTTTTGTGCGAACTGCGAGGAAGATATAGGTCAAAAAAAAAGCCGCTAAGAACTGTTGCGTTGGTGGAGTAAACAGCGTCTGTGCGTCTTGCGTCTGTGGACTGCGTGACAGGCGTACGTAAACCACGTACCGGCGGCGCGCAGGCAGGTCAGTTACGCTAGAAACGTAGGAGATTGATTGACAGCCTGTCAGCTCACAGATAACGAGGCAGTGTCGTTATCTACTGGCAAATGTTTAGCCCCACCACGTCCAGAGTTGATGAATTTTTATTCTCTTTTTTTTGGTCATCATAATTACAAGGCTACTGCACCTCTATAATCTATCATTGACAACTTGAAACAAAAACAAACAAAAAAAAATCCTCCATACAACCTTTAAGCAAAGACACTTGTGATTCGATATATTGTGACAGTCCACGATATTATTGTGAGACTTTTGACGATACGATATCACGATATTTCGGTTATTGTTACATCCCTACTGCATAAACAACTTGTTTTACTCAGTAGATACAATACACCATTGAATATCTTGATTGTCATGTTGCTCATTAAGACCAGGTTTAGTCCTTGTCCTTATCCCTGTTACGGCACAGCATTAGTCCTGGTTTAGTCCTGGTTTAGTCCTGGTTTAGTCCTTGTTCAGTTCTGGTTTAGTCATTCATATATTTTGTCCTGTTATGGGAATTGGGGTGTGCAAAAATATTGAAATATCGATGTATCGTATCATTGAATGTGATGAAACAGTATCGATATCGTGGTCTGCTGTATCGATATATCACCAAGAGTATTTTTTGGTATATTTTACTGAATTATTTTGTCACAGCGCTACAATTTTGTTGCTTATTTAGAGGAAGGAAACTCTTTTATGCGACACATTTGACATTTTCACTGTTTTGAGGATTAAAATGTTTGTGTTTCATATGAACTTTGCACAAGAAGTGGTTTAACAAAGACTTTCAGAATCACAGTCATACTTTAACCATTATGTTTTTATCGAACCGTATCAAATCGAAAGCGCACTGTATCAAGATATGTATCGTATCGTGGCCTATGTATCGAGGTATTGGCAACTTCTTAATGATACCCAGCCCTGTATATGGGAATGTTTTAGTCCTGGTTAAATCCTGGTTTAGTCCTGGTCTGGTCCAGGCTCTCCAAGAAAAAACGCTTCTCAATTACTTTTGTTTGTATAGAAAATAGAAAGAACGAGTCTAAATAGCAGTGAAGATCTAATCAGGACTAAAAACCAGTTAGACTCCAAGCTCAAAGAATTACGCACGGGACAAGTCAAACTCGTCTGTCTCACCTGTTGTGGTCAGGACGGTGCTGGTGAAGAAAAGAGACGATATGAAGTCCCAGTTTTGATCGGAGGCATTCGTCTGTATCGTCACCCCGTAGTTACTCGCCTCCAGGACCCGCGCCAGAAGCTTTTCCAGCCTTTCCTCATCCACGCACGGGCTCGCGTTCAGAAACTCCCTCCGTGCGTCCTGCAGCTCCCGGCGCAGCTCACGTTCGTACGGAAGCTCAATCGCGGAGAAAATCCCAGCTCCTATGATGAGATACAAAACATATCCAAGAACTAAAGCTGTGACATTCAAGGCTGAACGATGTCGCTCCACAAAACGGGCGCACCATTCGTTTGCGCCACAAGTCATAACTTAAAAAAAAACTGTCACAATTAAACAAAAAGTAAAGTTTGAAGTCAAAACTGGGGCTAAACCAGGTCGTAATCGGGTCTGAACCAACCAGGAACATCCACGGACTGAACCAGCTCTTCAACTAAACTATTGTCGGTCTCCTTGTCCTCTCCTCTTCCTCATTCCTCGGGTCTGATTGGAGCGAGCGCGCGGTGACGTTGCGCTTTTACCGGACCAGGTAGAGTCGTGGCACTTTCCTTTCTCTCTAAACGTCTCCAAAAACCGGTTCTACAGGTTTTAAATGCTGAGAATCACAACAAAGGATTTGCCTAGAAACCCAGGGGTCCGGTTTCCAGACGACAAACTAAACAAAATTAAAACTAGTGTGAATTTCAAAGTGGATACAGCTTATTTAAACGCTTCAAGACATATAATTTACCACTTCAGAAAGATAAGGTGTCCTCATATGATCAAAAATTTACGAATAGTAGTTTTAAAGGCACACAGCTGCAAGACTATGTTTAACTAATCCGATATTGTACATTGATAATTTGGAGATTCTTAGGTTTATTATATTGGTACAGCCCATTTAGGTGTGGCTGCATTGGCCTGTACAAGTAACAAAAAGTGGTGCAGTCAATTACCTCACCCTAATGTGACCTCACATCTTCCACCACAATACATTACATAATATAGCCTGACTGAAAATGCATAGTAGGCTGTATTGGCTTAAAATGGACTACTCCCCTGCAAAAAAAACTAAATCCACTCATGTTAAGATGATTTAAATAAAGAAAGTTTTATCAAGATTTGAGTAAATTTCACTTGACAAGTAAAACTTGTACTTAAAATATGAAAATACATCTTGCTACACTTAAAACAACAACTTTTTGCACTTAAAATAAGAAGCTAAATTGAATCCAAGGCCATGGTTCTCGACCGGAAAAAGGTGGCTTTCCCTCTGTAGGTGCGTGGGGAGTCTCTGTTTTAAGTGGAGTTCAAGTATCTCGAGGTCTTGTTCATGAGTGAGAGGAGGACAGAGCGTGAGATTGACAGGTGGATCGGTGCAGCGTCTGTAGTGATGCGGTCACTGTATCGGCCTGTTGTAGTGAAGAGGGAACTGAGTTGAAAGGTAAAGCTCTCGATTTACCGGTCAGTCTTCATTCCTACTCTCACCTATGGTCATGAGCTTTGGGTAATGACTTAAAGGACAAGTGGCCGAAATGAGTTTCCTTCACAGGGTGGCTGAGCGCTCCCTTAGAGATGGGGTGAGGCCCTCAGTCACACAGGAGGAGCTTGGAGTAGAGCCGCTGCTCCTCCACATCGAGAGGAGCAGCTGAGGCTCGGGCATCTGTTGTGGACGCCTCCTTTAGGAGGTGTTCCAGGCATGTCCCACCAGAAGGAGGCCCCAGGGAAGACCCAGGACACGCTGGAGGGACTATGTTTCTCGGCTGGCCTGAGAACGCCTTGGGATGCCCCCGGAGGAGCTGGAGGAAGTGTTAGGGGTGAGGGAAGTCTGGGAGTCCCTGCTTAGACTGCTGAAGCAGAAGAAAATGGATGGATGAACAAAATTGAATGTTGCTTGAATTAAGAAAAACACTCTTATTCCACTGGCAAATAATTATACTTGTCAAGTTTAATCTACTCAAATAAAGTAAAATTATCTTAATTTAAATCATTTTAACTGAGCTACATATTGTTGTTTCCAGTGTGTTACTCAAGTACATAGATACTGTAGCTCTACCCGCTATTATCATTAAATATGAGACATGAATAAAATAAATGTAAACAACTGTAAGTTTATTTAAATACAATATTTTGAGCTGGCAAAACTTTGAACTGTTAGCCTACAGCAGTCTACTATTACATAAAAAGGTGCACTATGTCACTTTTTGGTTGGGGGTCCGTTACCTGCTTGTTTCTATGGAGATGCCACTGCTCTGTCTGGAATGTTCCACAGTAAAACATTAAACAGCTACGTTACATTTATTAAATTCCAGGTGTTTTTATTGCTCTCCACCAGAAAAGTTACACAATGCAGCTTTAATAAGTCAGTATGCATTCTAATGAGTCTTAATTTTAACCAAACAGCAATGAATTTCTTTAGTTATTTACAGCCAGGAAGCGATTTTACAATAACCTCTATACCAATGATCCTAACAGACTGTAATCTTTATTTTAGCCACCAGAGGGCGCCCAAGACTGTAACTTCATTCAATAAAGCAATGCCAAACCTAAAATAAGGCATAATATTCATTCACAATATTTGCTGACTATAATATTTATTAGGATCAAGTATTTTATTAATAGAACTTGCAGATTTAATTTCCAGGAATTTACATAAATCAATGTCTCCTTATATTTGTTTATGTGTAATAATTTAATATGTACATCTGTTCAAATAGGCCGGGTAAAAAACAGGTAAAAAACAACAACATAATCTCATCTTTTAAGCAAGTTATAGATTCTTCTTTCAGAAAATATTGCATGTGTAAATATTGTATTGTAATTTCCTAAAAGTATGAACCTGGGATCAAGCACAATTTAAGCTTTGTAGTCTAGATAACAAAAGATTTGATTGTGTTAAGCTGCAAGTAACAATCTTAAAATCCCTCAATCCTCAAAAACTATACTATATATCTGAATTATCTGCAAAACAAAGACGGTTTAAAGATGTATGATGTAACTTTTCTGGGTTCTGGGTCTGGGATGTTATTGCTTTGCCTGGAATATTTCACAGTACGGTATTTAACTTATCTAACTTCTTTATCTTTAAAAACATCTGTACTTGAATAAACAGATGATAGATAAGTTAAAGTTAAAGGTGCACTCTGTAACTTTTCTGGTCTCCATGGAGATATTACTGTTTTGCCTTCATTATTCCACAGAAGGGAAATAAACTTGGTAACAGAGACAAGTTAATAGTCAGATCGATGGAGAAGCAAGCCTACACATGGTAAAAATTCATGTTTAATAAGATATTTTGGGTTATAAATCACCTATAATTCAACAAATGCAACGGAGATTTGTTCAGTGACATACTTTGGAACAAGGGTTTAATCCCGGGACCCAGAATTCCAGGGAAATCTGATCAAAACTATTTGTCGATTCCCGGGAAAGGTTATAACAAGAAAAATAGGAAAATAGGCAAAAAAAATCAATAGTGCTCATCTATTTTTTGTTTTACAGTAATGTTAATGCCACCGTAACTACAGTAATAAGGACTCACTTCATCAGCGTGATGTCTGGGTTTGCATCCAGTTTTGTATGAGGGCACTTTCAAAAAACTGACAATAATAACTCCAAGTGTATGTTTCCTGCTCATGTCTGTGCACGTCTCATACAGAAAGAGCCGCTGTTCTGTCTGTATCATGTCAGTCGATCGCACCGTTACTTCTGTACCACTGAAAATTTAAAACGGTAATCGAGCAGCAGAAAGAAAGTTTGGAGTGAGCGAGAAACTTGTGAGGGACTGGCAGAAAGGTGAGGATGGAGAACACAGCGTCACAGCGACCTGGATGATGCGCCATGCAACTTTCCTGGAAGTCACTGGATGGATCGACAAAGCCTGGACTTAAGTGACACTGAAACCATCCTGTCGGGATTCAGAAAAGCCGGAATAATTCTAACTGGAACTGATGCTGAGTGTGACGACAGCGGCGCAGAAGAGGAAGCGGCGCTGCATTTACCTCTGGAGGTCGCTGTGATGCTCAAAAGTGGTCGTTGTGGTAACACTTTATAATAACTACAGCTTATTTAGCCTTAATAAAGCATGAACAAAGACTGAATTCATAATGAACTAAGACTTAATTAATCATGAGTCACACTTAGTAACTACTTAATTACTACCTTAATTAGCACTTAACTTCCACTTAATTCGCCTGTGCTCTAAATAGTTACTCATAATTATTTCACACTTAATTACTCATGAACTCAGCATTTGTGTGTGCATTTGTAAATGTATACTTAAGTACAAATTTGAGCATTTATTGATGATTAGTAAGCTATGAGACAATGATTTACTAATAATGCAATGCAATGATAATTCAGGCAGCTATTATCTGTTAAGTCTTTTTGAGAGCTTTTCTAAAGTGAAGACTAATTATGCTTTATTAAGCATATGACTCATGATTAATTAAGTCTTAGTTCATTATGAATTCAGTCTTTGTTCATGCTTTATTAAGGCTAAATAAGCTGTAGTTATTATAAAGTGTTACCGTTGTTGTTTATGTTATAGTTTATCTGAAGAACTGTTCATATGTGACATTAACAGTCTGTTGTTCTCTGTTTTGTTATTACTAGAACTTGACTTTCAAAATTAAATGTTGGTTCCTGGTCTCTGATTTGATCAAATAAATTTCCCCCAAAAAGTGCGACTTACATATGTTTTTTTTCTTCTTCATTATGCATTTTTTGGCTGGTGCGACTCAAACTCCGGAGAGAGTTTGAGTCATAAGGTCTAATTGGGCTCCAAAAAAAGAACTGCTGTTATTTCCCGGGATTTCCCTCTTGTCCTGGGATTTGATTCATGTCATTTTTGGGAAAAAAATATTAAACACTATTTGGAACATTCCAGGCAAAGAAATAACATTTAAATGCAGATATAAGTAGAGGATCTTCTTACATAGTGCACCTTTAATGCCACACTGGGGAACATTCCAAGCAAAGCAGTATCTCCCTCCAGTTGAAAAGTTACACACTGCACATTTAAGAGGAAAACTTGTATTTGGAAAAGTTGGCTGTGTCACTTTAGTTGATTTGCAATAACATAATCTCCCTTTCTCTTTTATGAGTTATAATTGAGTTGATTTAAAGCATCGGGCCATTTTCAGAACACATCGACAGATTTATTACATCTCAGCATCTAAAAAACACACACCAAAATGCAAAAAAAAAGGAAAAAAATATGATCATAGTCCAAAATCGTTGTCCAGAATCTTAGCGTAGGGTTGATATGGGTCAGAAATTTCAATATCGCTCTCCAAATCACCATAAATCTGAGTCTGTTCCTTTCCGTTCGGTCGTAACAGCAGGAGAAGAATCAGTTATCTGAAAAACAGACAACACATGAGGGCGGACACAACTTTTATGAGAGCGAAGGGTTCAGATCAGGATAT